CTAGTTGTACCTCTTAAAGCTGTACAGCTGTTCTTCACCACTGTGGCTGCTTAGTCTGGGAAACTCAGAAAATCCCTATTTTTGGTTAATGTCTGGTCAGGTCATTTGTTCCAGTTTGTCCAAACCAGTCCAAACCTAAATGATTCAATCTCTGAAGGTTAAATACTAGCAAGGTAGGGAATATGAACTGGTTGAAACAAAATGTCCAGCGAAGATTCAGGGGGAAGTGTGGGCAAGAATCACCTAAAATCAATGTCCATCATGATGGACACAGCCTTCAGTCTTTAGTATCGTCAGATCATACATTTGCAACAACATGCGTGTATGAAAGCAGTTACTAAACAAGTTGAATTGCACTACATTTTAATAGGTGGTCATGTATTGTAATAGCGGTTATGGTGCAGAGGCAGAGGGGGTCGTCCCCTAATCGGAAGGTTGTTTGTTCGGCTCCTGGTGCCACATGTCTAAGTATCCTTGAGCAAGATACTGAACCCCGAATTGCTCCCGATGCCATGCATCGGTGTGTGAATGTGTATAAATGAAAAGGGGGATTGTGCCATGTAGTGTAAAAGTGTTTTGAGTGGTCGGAAGACTAGAAAGGCGCTATACAAGTACAGGTCCATTTACCATCCATCCAATAATAATAATAATATGTTTAGTCATCACTCTTGTTCTGCTCATCAGGGCTTGTTGACTCAAAGTCAGTCATAAGTCGCACATTGCATATTTGTACACTATGATGTTATCTGAATCCACCATCTTGTAACGGTTGTGGGCCTCCAGTCTCATCTCATTTAAGGACTCTGTCATGTGAATACCACAACGGCCACTGAAGACCATTAAACCATCCTTTCCAAAGTCAGGGCTGCAACAAAAATTCCAGCAGAATTATGACTGTGGTCTCTGTTCATTATGTGGATGGTGCTGTCTTGTTAATGTTGTAACAAATGGTTAGGTTTATTCCCATAACCACATAATAGCAGTGATGGTTTAACTCCAATAATGTCACTGTTACACAGTAACAAGACCTGAGTTCCATTAGCTTATGGGTGGACTTCCTGGTTTTTCTAAATGTAATGCAGAAATGCTGAAACATCATTAAAAAGAAGACTGAATTGTGGATAAATTCTGAAACAATAAACCGTCTTTTGGCACACATTGGCATGGCACTGGGACAAAACTGTTTCACTTGCTATATTTTCTATGAAATGTGTGAAAGTGTAACGTATTGCTGTTTCTGGACATGAGCACTGGCAAATACGGAAGTCTGTTTGTCATAGTTTCCAGGAAAAAGCCACACTAAATTCTAGGTCTGCATTTAGATTTATGAAGTGAGATTAACAAGTGTTAATGAAATGAAAAAAAGTGCTGTCTCAGACTATGTGTCTTTGACAAGTTTGACAGTTTGGTCACCCATGCTGCCTCGCCACTTAAATTTAAGTTGTGTTCTTGATATTCTTTGGCAGTTTGGTCATGCTTGTTGCTATTTGAAAGATCTGTACTGTTATATTTTTGAATGATGATTTAAGTTGTTGACATCAAGCATTTTAATATGTAGTTTTCCACTGACTGGAAATAACTCAAGTCTAGATTTAAGTTCATTATGTATTTCACAGGCAGATGCACTAACTGAGGAATACTGAAAGCAGCAGACTGACAGTTGCTGGGTTGTAATGGAAATGGAAAGCTATTGATTGTCGAACGATTGTGGTCTTTTGCATGCCGTTATAGGCCAGTGGGGAGAGTGGGCAGAAACTGACAAAGGGGAATATGTGTGTGTGAGAGAGAAAGAGAGAGATGCACCGATTCAGTCTCTGTATGAGGGCACACCCCTCACTGCAGTATTATAAATCAGGTAAAAAAAATCTTTACTCGTTTGATGCAGTTGATGAGAGCAGGTTTGTATTGCTGAGATGTGTTATACTCCATTATGACTGTATTAGGGCTGCAGCTAGCGATTGTTTTTATTATGGATTCTGTTTTCATTAATCAATGAATCATTCAGTCTATAAAATGACAGGAAATAGAAAAATAAATCTCCAATATATTATATTCATTTCACAAGGATAATTAAATGCTTATTAAATGACTAAAATTACTATCTGATTCCCGAGTGTTGTCATTTTGAGTGACAAATGTGCATTTTGTTATGACTTATTCCTAGGTGCTTTCACCAGCTTTTAACTGAATGCTGAAAGTTGATTCATCTGTCAATTATTTTAGAGCTACAATAATTTTTCAAGCAAAAATACCCCAAAAATATAATAATGAAAGTATTTGTAGATATTCAACTTAAAAATTATAACAACACTAAGAAAAACAGCAATTCAAATTCAAATCTATAATCTGGAAACAGTGAATGCTGGACATTGGTCATTGATAAAAGACTTAAACAATTAATCTAATACCAAAATTGTTGTCAATTCACTGTTTTTGTTGTCTCACTGATGGATTATTTACTCTACTACTGAAATGTAGGTCATCTCTTCCAAGTATAGTCAATGCTGACTTTGATCTTATCTAAAGTGTTTTTTTTTTTTTTATCCACATCAGACTTAATCATATTTTAGTATTTCCATGAAAAAGGTGAAATAAGTATGCATATATATGCAGTATGCAAGTATTTCATATTTTATAGTCAAAATTAGATTAGGAAGAAATTGTCTCTGAGCTAATTTCAGGGCAGCGTGCTCTAAAGTATGATCTATGCTGGTGCTGTGTTCCAGCCACTGATGACTGTGTTGTAATGTGTTGCTTCAGGGTGTGGTTTCTAGGGAAGGATCTGGGCTCTGTTTCACACTCCTCCATCACCATCGCATACACACAAACACAGACACAAAAATACACACATTACGTGTGTCCATGAGCTCAGCAGATATAGAGCTTGTATCATCTAAGCCGCATACAAAACCATATTATGCTTTTTCCTTTTTTCTGACGGGTGAAGGAGTGGCTGCAGTTCATTACAGTGATGAAACACTGGGTCCATAGCCAGGGTTGTAAATCATTGTGCACATGGGCTGATGGGAGAATATGGAAGTCTGTTCCTCCTAGCAGGGCTAGGAACTGAGTCCTGCCATTTTATATTTGAGTGTGAATGTATTACTGAGGTTATACTTGTTGGAGTACAACCTAATATTATCATTTTAAAAAAATAGTTGTGTCATAAAGATGGACTTTAAACATTTGTTTCTCCAGAACAATGCATGGATTATTGTGCTCTGAGGGAACTTCACACATATACATTATACATAGAGTAATTGATCTGTTGTTTTATGTATTTAACCAGCAGATATTAAGCATCCTTGCTTGAAAAACAATTGTTGTAGAATAATTTCCCGTTGATCGATTAGTCAATTCAGCCTATCTTCATGTGGCCAGTCGACTAACCAGCAGCTTAAATGAACAGTTTGCCCACACATCACCCAACCAACCTCCCCTTTATCCGTGTACTCCTTCACCCTGTCAGACATCCTGCTCTTCACTGAACCAGCTATCCCACAAGTCAGCAAAACCAGGCGCCCAGTCTCCTCTCCTCTCTAGACTGTCTCCCTGCAGTCAACCCGTCGCTATGACAACGGTCTGCTAGAGTCAGCCCGTGGTGCAGCAGCAGCAGCAGATTTGATGTCTGACTGTGTGGCGTCATGGCAACGCCCAGATCAGACCATATTACGAGATGTGGGGTTGAAGGGTTCCTCAGATGTGACAGTGCTTTGTAGTTCCATTTTAGTGCAGCAAAGTGGGCGTGTGCAAGGTTTATTTTCTCATGCAGATTAAAAATATCCTGCATCATAAAATGATCGATAATCAGCATTGTGGCTATTGCATTTGGTCGGTTGAAAAAATGGATTATACAGAGAAAATAACATCCACAGTTAGAATTGTTGCATAATAAAATCTGGATAAACATTGGTTAAGATGTTAATCCATGATCAGTCTTTAAAAGCAGCTTCAGTTCTGCTTCCAACAGCAAACTGTCATCCTCCCACCCCACTATGACTGGTCCAGGTCATTTAACTGCAGAGGAATAAAAGTTACAACGGTAGCTTCTCTGTCTATCTTAATTAATGCCTTCTAGTTACTGTTTTGGTGAAGCATACATATGTTATCAAGCTGGCATTCCCAGATTGACCCAGTCAGCATTTGCACCAGTAAATGTTATTTGTGTGGGCTGGAATGTAGATATCATGATGATGGTGACAATGATAATGATCATAAGAATAACTTTGTGCAGTAGTAATCTTATATTAGTTCATGTATTAAACCAGATTTAATTGGACACACATGACTACAGAGCAGACAAGCCATAGAGAAAAGTAGTTACACACACTTGTAGGTTCTCCTTTGTTCTTGGAAGGGGAGGGTGAATCTGCAGTTATATTACAAATGCCACTAAATCCTGCACACTGGATCACTAACATAGGTTGACTATTAACAATGCCACGCATATCAGGATGTCACATGGTGACACATGTATGACAAATACATGCAAATTCAACATAAGGTAGTAGTAGACGTTTTCTATGTCTGTGTAGGTTTAACAAGCTGCTACAAGTCACTGCATTGGTTACTGCACATTTTCCATTGTGAGATAGTGCTAGCTAACTAGTTTTGCAAGCTCGGTATTGCTTGATGGAATCATTTAACACGGCTATCAAGAAAATGTCGATGCAGATATGTGTTGCTTGCAGGGGAAATCAAATCAATTTGCTGCACAAGACCACAGGGAGTGCTGGTCAGGCAGACCCACATGGTGGTCTCTTCGTAGCCCTGAATGAATGGATGGATTAAGCATTATTCATCTCCTCTGGGTGGAAAAATAAGGACATAATTGAACACCAGCTCTAAATATAGAACAGGAATCGTTTGGCATAGTAGATAGTCCTCCAATTAATCTTCTTTATGACAATGTTTCAAGCCAAACTGGGTCTTTGTTGGAAGAAAATTGCGTTGAATCATAACATTTCTTTTTTCCCCTCTTCCCATCCCTTTCTCTACAGAGCGACAGGCTTCTGATCAAAGGAGGGAGGATTGTGAACGATGACCAGTCCTTCCATGCCGATATCTACTTGGAGGATGGCGTCATTAAGTAAGTCCCTCGCTGTCCTCCTCTCTGCTCTGCTTTTATTCACTCCTGTTTGCTTTCATCTCACCACGACCACTCAGGCTCAACATTCATTTGATCAGATTGATGTTGCCGAAAGTAAAACTCCTCTTGACATGTGTGCGAAATGTTAAGAGATCTTGATCATTCCATCCGATGGGTTGGCGAGGTGGATTTGTGCAAAAGGGAAATTCCTGTTCCTTACTGTCATATTTTTGTCCATTCTGAGTTTGCTCCCAATGCTTGCTGTAGAAATGTTCGACATCTGCAAGAATGACATCAATCAGGGAAGAAGCACCTACCGTTTACTTCAGTGTAATAACCTAAACCTGTCTGAACAGAGCTGGTTTGGCATAATGGACAGAAATAATGAACACCTAGGTTGACAAATGATCTCAAATGTTCCCTTTAGGATTAGCTTAATTATGTATGTATGAAAACTTTTTTTTACCTTGAAACTCTTCACTCTCAGTGATACAGGGAAGTCGAGCACAAATATTGCATATAGCTATTATTGTCTAAATGAACCCAAACTAAATATAGCAATCTAATTAACTCTCCTAGTATGAGTGATATGGAAACTATAGAGAATAAATGAACATGCACACTGCTGGCTGACCTGAACAGAAGAAACCTTCTTTCTAGGGTTTGCCACAGTGGTGATTTTGTTAAAGTAAAGGTAGGGTCATAATAACCAGTCTAGTCCCCAATTTTATACACTAGTATGAGCGTGTCCCCACCCCACCAGACAAGGCATGGGTAGTTTGGGTGAATTCCTCTCTCTGTGTCACCCTGAATCAGTCCGCCCTTTCCATCACTCTCGTCCCCCCCGTTCTGTTCCCACTTGATTTTCCAGTTATAGGCCCTTTGTCTCCCCCTGCCCCTTAGTGAGGCAGCTCAGAGAGAGGCACCCACAGGGAGCCTGGTGTTGCATAATAAACACCCAGATGCCTGTTGGACCATGGGGCTGCTGGCAAACTCACAGAGACACTGGTTTCTGCCTGTCTGTCTGGTCCCTTCTGTAAAGTCTGAACAACAGGGGTGAATATTGATGCGTTGACATGGTGACAGTGGGCTGCTTCAAGCGTGGCTGACTTTGCTTTGGGGTCAGTCTAAAGTTAAAAAGTAAAAACGTGTTGCTGTTGATTTAAATGTATTAGAAAGATGTCTTTCCTTAACAACTTATGTTAAGATATTTGTACTTGCATTGGTACATATTTGTTTTTTTCCATTCTACTATGTAATTGCAACAACGTTACATATTTGGGTTTGATGGAGGAATCGGGCCACCTCCAGAACATAGTACATTCCATAGCACAGCTCAAAACATTTTTATTATTATATGCTATATATAATTATGACATTCTCTTCCCTCGACAGGCAGATCGGCGACAACCTGATCGTGCCCGGTGGGGTGAAGACCATCGAGGCAAACGGGAAGATGGTGATCCCTGGTGGCATCGACATCCACACCCACTTCCAGATGCCGTACCGTGGAACCACAACCGTTGATGACTTTGCTCAGGGATCAAAGGCTGCTCTTGCTGGGGGCACGACCATGATCGGTAAGAGCTGTAGGAAAGGTCACCCACAGAGGAAAATCAGCTTTTCAGACACAGATTAAAGCTAAAATGAGGGGGGGGCTGAAACCCTAACAGAGGACAAGAGCTGGGAAGCGGTTGTGGTTTGTTTTTGGGCAGCTCTCCAAAAGACGACCATACAAAAGACTGAGTGTAAGGGGGTGGGTTTTTGGAAGGGGGGCAAAGAGTGAAACGCCGCTCCCACGGAAATACAACACCAGTGTCTGTCTGCATGCTCCTCTGTGTACAGTGTGGGTTTATATGTGTGCTTCATGTAGCTGTGACGCCTTCGCAGCCAACAGCTGGTAGGCACCACAGTCGCATTAATACCATTAACTTCTTTTAAGCTGGCTGCTACTCTGCTTCTTGTCTGCCAGTGTGGCTCTATGTTTAAACAGACACATTCACTAACTGGGGTGCTACTGTAGTAAGCTCTATTCATGGGTTCCATTCATTGAGGGATTATATTCTAGCGGGTGATGTGTGAAAGAGAAAGTTAAGATATGTACTGTGGTTGTACTCTGTATTTCTTTCCATCCCTACGAACAGATGATGTTGTTTTTTTGTTGTTTGTGTGATGCCGAACAAACGACTAATTCAGATGGTTGACATAGAAAAAAGTAGGGTTTTTTTGTGACTGTCGTTTCCAGCTCTATCCTATTAACATGCAAAGACCAGATAAGCAGATTAGGTCATCCTTAATGAGATAAAGAAGCCAGTCAGGTGGTGAGCCAGCAGGCGGCCTTATTGTTTTACAGCTGAGTAAGATGGAGTGGGATTTTTTGTGCATGGTGATACTGTTGTGTACGATGAGGATTTACTGGCCATGAATAATTTCAGTGAGAACAGACACAAAAGATATTCACCGAGTGAATATTCGCCTTCCAGGCATGCACAAAGGCAAACACGTTTGCATAAACACAGTGAATCATGCAAATGTACACATCAGAAATCTTGTTTATGTATTTTGTTATATTTGTAATTTTATGTGCTGGAGCATAATACTGCAGCTAATGGTTACCAGAGTTTTTGAACATTAAATTCTATATTAATTTATTTTCCTAACTCATGTCATTGTGCCCTCACAATATCAATCAAACCGCTGTCCCCAAATTATTAATTTTAATAATGCTTTGCAAAATGTTTTTGCAAATGAACTATCCAATATACAATGTATATATATATTATATTTAACAATATGTTTCATTGTTGCTTTTGTGGGACTATTCTGATTAAAATTTAGCTAAATCTTACTTGTCAGTTACAGTAGGTTTATACACTTCAATGAATGTATACACTAAACGCCGTAACACGATAACCTCCAAATGTTTTGTGCCATTACAGGCAGTAAACCACTGCACCACTAAATGCATTTTTAAAATGGGTGGTCCCATTGGGAAAATCGACTACCCTTGTCTGCCAAACTCCGACCTAAGAGATTGATCATGCTTACATAATGCAAAACAAAAGTTGGAAAATAACCAGAGTTGAAGCGGCCCCTAAACTTATCATGGACACCAGCACCCAGACAAAGATGTTCAAAATGTAATGTGACATCTGACAAGGTTGGTCCCCAGTGGCTGAGCACTGCAGCAACTCAGACAGACAGCTGATTATGCAAGATAAACAACACAGGGAGAAAGTAGAAACACCAGCGGACAAATCCTGACATCACCCTGTCTTCATCTCCCGGACTCCCCAAACCAACCCACTCTGTCACTTCTTGGTGACCCTTTCTCCCTACAAATTTCTTTGCTCCTCCTTTCATGCTCCCCTCATCTTTCTGTCCTTTGTCCTCTATCATCCATCTCCTCCAGTGGACCATGTGATCCCAGAGCCCGGGAGCAGTCTGATGGAGGCCTATGACCAGTGGAGGCAGTGGGCCGATGAGAAAGCCTGCTGCGACTACTCCCTCCATGTGGATATCACCCACTGGAACGACAGCATAAAACAGGAGGTGGATAACCTAATCAAGGAGAAAGGTAGGCTATGATGGTGTAACATAACAACTGCCTAAAGAAGTGAGTGTGTGTAGTGTGTTCTATGTTGCCTCTTATGATTGGAGAAAGCATGAAAATGAAGCTAGAAAGCTAAATACAACAACAAAAAACAAACAATATAAATTTTAATAGTTTAACTTGCCCTGGAAAAAGTAACTATGTTACAGAGTGAGACAAATATAAACTGTAACTGATGAATAAAAGACTCAAATCACATCTTTTTCACAGTTTATTTTTATAACCACCTTAGACCTTTCACGTATTCTTCTTCATTGTCCTTTGTTACAGGTGTGAACTCTTTCCAGGTCTACATGGCTTACAAGGACTACTACCAGATGAGCAACAGTGAGGTACAATAACTGTAACTTAGAAGGATACTTTAAAGGATAGGTTCACATTTTGACACATTTTTTAAGTAAATTCATTCTCTCCATACTGGCAGTGAAGAGATGGAAAACAAAATCCAGAGTTCTTCTTTTGTGAATGAATACAATGCTAATATGAGGCCTCTGTTGTCTGACTTAGACAAATCTAGTGGGTAACTTCCAAATTGAAAGTCTTTTTAGTACAAAATTTTGCTATTTCAGGTTACTGTTTACTATTTATTCTATTGTTGTATTTTATTCTATTGTATTTTATTGTATTTTAATGTACCTGGCTGCTATGAAGACCCAATTTCCCTCTGGGGATTAATAAAGTCTATCTATCTATCTATCTATCTATCTATCTATCTATCTATCTATCTATCTATCTATCTATCTATCTATCTATCTATCTATCTATCTGTCTATCTGTCTGTCTGTCTGTCTGTCTGTCTACAGAAGCCCTAATATTAACTTTGCATGGAATGAGGACTGTTGCTTTTGCCCCCCATCACTTACGTTTTAGGAAGTGATCTCCTTCGCAGCCAGTATGGACAAGAGGAATGATTACAGCGACCAAAAACTCTTACTCAATATACGTATGCATATGAGTATTTTTTAAGACAGACTTGAAAATGTGAAACAGTGTGAACACGCAAATGCAGTTTGGCATGTGAGGCTGCACTAGAAATCCCAAACGGGATGGTATGATCTTGGTTTGACTCAGTGTGTAATTTAAATATCAATATCTTATTTAAGCAATCAAATAAGAGTAATTTCAGTCAATGTAATCAATCACTTCTGACTTGCTGAGAAACTGAAGAGTCAAGAGGCTAAAAAAGTGACTAATTATGACCTTTAGTTGGTGTTCACTATAATACTCAAGATTTCCAACTGTAAAGTTTTGGAAACACATTAATCTTTTTTTCTCCCCTGAAATACAGCGTCCTTATGTAACTTGAAGCCTGTGATGTACAGTATAAGTCCAGATGGTGTGAGGCAGAACTCTTCATGTCTCTTATGCGGCCGTGGCTAATTCGGTCGGTCAGAGGAGCACATGAGGCAACTGAAATAGTCCAGCTTGAAAAACTGATGTCATGCACCTCACTAAGGAACTGTGGCATAGCAGCACAACAACAACTGCAGCTCATCCCACATGAGTTTTACCATTTCTGGAGGCCACACACAATAATTGCAGTGTGTCGTGGTAGACATCATGTAAATTGTGGGCTTCTTTTAAATTGTGGCTTGAAGGCGACCCCTAGGATAAAAAAAGGAGTGTCTGATTCTTGTGTAAACACCCAGGCAGAATTTTAAATATAATAGCAGTGCCACTGTAATTTCACTGTTTCTGTGTCTTGCTCCTCCAGCTCTATGAGATCTTCACCTTCTTGGCAGAGAGAGGAGGCATCGTTCAGGTCCATGCTGAAAACGGCGAGATCATCGCTGAGGTAAAATCAAAGATAAATGAACTGACAGATGCAGCTCTCGAACATCTTCTTCTCCATTTCTCCCCTGTCTTTTATTCTTTACTACCCTCCCTCGTTCATTACTTGTCTGGTGCCAACTCTGTGATCCCTTTTGGTTTAGTGAGATTAATTTCAGTTTAATTCGCTTCAGTTCGCCTTTCTAGTCTTATCGCAGTGCATCTCCACTACCTACAGACTAAACACACTGTCACTGATGAGAGGGAGAATGTGTTTCCTGTAGGACAGTAATGTGTGGGTGTAGTATATACAGGGCTGTGCTGTATTGTGGACAAATGAAAGTGAATGAACCGTAATAGTTGGTGGATTGAGAGGGTTGGTATTAGTCAGAGCTCCAGACCATGCCTGCATTATGTCACCGTGTGTGTGTTGGATCTGATTCATTGCAAATCCCAGCTCTCCTACCCAGCCTTAAACTAGGACTTTGGAGGGAGTCTGATTTCCATCAGCTTTAAGACCAAAAATGTCTGAACCCCCGGATTATGTCATGACCTGACTGTACTTTAGAGCCCCTCAGAGAGAGAGGCCTTGTTTAGACCTGTGTGTGATGAATGTTGTCAATGCTGTAACCAAGTGACTTGTCCTCACAAAGTTTATGTCTCATTGGTGAATTTGTGTGTAGGGTTTATAAAAAACATGGAGAATATATTAAATTAAATATGGGTTTTATTCTTATTAATGTAGTCATTCTGACTTTTTACTTACTACTCTCCTCTGTAGAGATTTTGGAAGCAGAGACAAGAAAAGTGGGCAAGCAGCACAAGCCTCCTAAAGCTATCCAAATAAACACTTGTCTTTGACTCCAATCATTCATATATTGCACGATTTGTTCAAAAAGGCCAACACAGGTATTGCAAAAATGTCCTGAAAGGCTTTTATTGCTGTGTTGTAATCGCTGTTGCTTAACCATATGGAACGTCTTCTAGTAGATTTGGGGGAAGTGAAACAGTTTCCAGCACGGCAATGTTGATCAGAGCTGCAAATTTGCTTGTTGTAGTAACACAGCTGGGATCACTCTCATTTGTGGACACTCTGTCTAGATTTTCCAAGTCTGTCATCATCAAGTCGCAATCCTCGATGTTTTTTTTCCTCCTCAGACAGCTTTGGAGAGCAATGACCACAGAAACACCACCAGGCTCTTGAGTTACTAGTTGTCTTGCGGGATCGTCCTCTTGCTGCCTCTCTGCCTCTTCATCTCCCTTTTGATTTAGCTTCTCCTCTGTGCACTCTGATTGGAATAAATATCAGCCATCAGTAATGACTCACATTCATCCTCACAATAGCCCACTGGATAACAAGCCATTGCACTTACTTTTAATTCATTTCCTTCTCTCCTTTCTTGTGTTTGCTACTGCTTTTCTATTTGTCATGCACGCGCTAAATCAACAGCAACCCACAGCTCCACACATGTGTAGATGAATAGGCAGTCTTGGAAGGAGATCTATTTGAGGTCCACTTTTCCTGTATCTAAGTTAGCATGACCCAAAGTCAAAACTGTCAAATTATGAGAATAAAACCCTGGTTTTATCTTAAAATATTGTTATTCTTCTTTAACACTTAAAGAAGTGCTTTTTGGGGAAGCATGTCATCATAAAGCAACCATGGTAACATCACAGACGCTAGTGGCTCCATGCAGGGGTCACCTAAGCATTTACTACAACACACCAGTGCAGCCAGAACGTTTTGGGAGGTAGGTCTACATGTATACAAAGACCCTCAACAGCCCATGGATTCCCACAGCCCTCCGTGTGTGGCCTGACCCAGATGACAAAACTGCTGCTCATATCCTTCACACAGGCACAGAGAAGCAGAAACAGAATATCATTTTGGAGTGTGAACAAAGCCTTACATCAGCCAGAGCGCTCAAACCCCTGAATACCAAAAAAAAAAAAAAAGGTCCTGCATGTGCATTATCTGTCAGCTAAGTAGCTAACAGCTTGCCTTTTGTGGGTTTGTTCAACAGGAGCAGGCCCGCATGCTGCAGATGGGTATTACCGGACCAGAGGGACACGTGCTGAGCAGGCCAGAAGAGGTACAACACACACACACACACACACACACACACGCTATACACATTATACACTAATTCTCTTCAGCTCTCTTCATTTTCTTCCTTATTCTATTGAGATATGTGTGTTTTAATGTGTTTTTTGATGTTCTTTCTTCAATGAATGTTAATTATGTGTTAGTATTTGCAGTTTGGGCAGTAGTCTCTCATAAATTAAAATTGAATCTAAAGACACAACCAACCTGATTAAATATAGTCAAAATACAAAAACAACAGCAGTGCGAACATACTCACACTCTCCTTGTCCACGATGACGTTCTCGGACTGGCCGTCACACACACATTGTTCTTGTTACACACATGTGGTTTCAGATACATTAAAGGCGTTGGGTGAAAACTCTCCAGTTACCCCAATTGTTGCTGATAGCGTTTCTTCAACAAACAGCAAAAAGAAAGCACTGCTCTCGACTCAGCAACCTGCCTGCCTTTAGCTTGACTGAGATTTTCCATTCTGCGGTGCAGTGGAGTGAAGCTGTCCCGCCAGTGTCACTGTGCTGTTGAGTCTTAAGAATCAAAAGCTTGGTAACATAATTTAATTGAGCAGAGGCCGAGTTGGATAAGTGTTTTATAAGTGTCTGGTGTCCTGTTTAGTTTTAATTTATTGGTTATTGGACCCAGGTTGAGCTTGTGGACTAGAACACAACAATCAGCTGAAGTGTTTGCGTCATGTTGCAGACTCCGAAACACATGCAGGAGACAGACGCTTGGTTTTATCTTTTACCGTTTTGTATTGAAATTTGTTTATTGTTCTTGCTCTTTGACATTCCCAAACACTGAAATATAGAAATGGACATTTTAGGAATTTAATAATCACAACAAAAAGCCTCTAAAATGTGTCCAGAGATGTTTGCTTTTAATGCATATTACGGGCTGTACTGTTATATGTTTGAACATGTGGTGCTCTTGTCTCACCAAGGTTTATTGAGCATTTGTTCGCTCATCTCACAAATTTACTTTTAACTACCCTAACAGTGTAACTGAATAAAGGTTATGATGTTAAAATTATAAGCTTCCACTTGTCTCTTTGGTTAAAAATGATTTATTTAAATAATTCAGCTCCAAAAATACACAATTTGCTGTGGTTACGATACTTGGAGTTTATTTGAGAAAATCCTAATGGGAAAAACATTTCCAAGTCAACCACAATGTCCTGTCCCTTCTGTAGCTGGAGGCGGAGGCGGTGTTTCGTGCCATCACCATCGCGAGCCAAACCAACTGTCCTCTCTATGTGACCCGGGTCATGAGCAAGAGTGCTGCTGACATCATCTCACAGGCCCGGAAAAGAGGTAAAGAGCAGCATTGAGACTTCAATGCACAATGTAGAATATTTTAAACTATGTGTTTATGTCAAATGTTAGCTTCATTAAAAAACAATGTGATTGTCTGAAATGATTCTGCCAGCACACGTAAAGACAGGGCACCTACATGATGGTAGGTTGTACACAGCATCAAAAATATCAGATTTTATTTTTCATCTCTGTGTATCGCTAACTTTTTTTTAATGGAGATTGCAGTGCCTTAGTGCATTGTGTATTAGAGTAGAACAGTGGTAGAGTAAAGGCTATCTTTGTATCATCTACAAATAGTCTTGAAAACTGCTCACTAAAATAAGACAAAACATAATGTTGAGTCTATCTTATGATCTTATTTACAACATTTAGCTTGATTTTTGTAAATTCCTGGTACTCAAATCAGTAAAAACAAAGAATAAACTACTACTTTAGAACCAAGCATAGAAATTTTGCAGCCCATGTTTTCACTCTGAATATAATATACTTCTTCTCATTGGTTGGCATCTTTCTGTCTGATTTGGAATGCACATTCCAGTATCACTGTACCTATGCCCTTATAAGAGGATTTTACTGTCCTTGCTGATGTTGCTGCTGCCACAGACTTTGGCTCTGCTTGACACGAGGGAAATAGATGCTATTCTCAAAGGTATTTTCAGCTTTGTCATTCAGGTCTCTTCTGCAGTTTACTTGTCATACAGACCATTCCTCACAGTCACAGGGAAGAGCAGGGGTGAACCGAGGGTCTGCCTCATTGTGATGGATTGTAAAATATAAATTTTTTGAGAAAATGGGAACGGGCAGAAAAGGAGAATGTGTGTTTGTTAGTCTTTAGTGACTTCAAGAGGACTTCTTCTTGCAGTCATGTACACCTTTTAGGGGCTTTTAATGGCCTTGACACCTTTGTTTGGATGTGTACCAGGAAGACAGTCAAACAGTGAACAAAGAACCATGAAGTAACTCAAGAGCAGACAGTGTTAGTGACAGGAATCAAACCCTGGCTCGTCATTCACGGATGAACAAGCTCAACTACGAGCTCAGCCATGGCAGCATGGTGGCTCAGTGGTTAGCACTGTAGCCTCATAGCAATAAGATCCTCGGTTTGATTTTCTGTGTGGAGTTTGCATGTTCTCCCTCTGTCTGCCTGTGTTTTCTCTGGGTGCTCCAGTTTTCCCCCACCATCGAAACATGTATGTTAGGTTCCAGTCAGTTCCCCTGACCAAGGCACTGGCTTAGAGTGGAGTGGAGTTCCAGGCTCTGTGCAGTGGCTGCCAACTGCTCCTAGTAGTTAGGATGGGTTAAATACAGAGGACAAATTTCACTATGCGTTGTGCTGTGTATGATTGTATATGTAATAGTAAAGTTAATTCTCTTCTTTTCTACAACTGAGCCAAAGTGAAAATTTGTACTTTGCCAAGGGTGATGGCTTTTCCAGGATTAGGCGGGGTTCCTCTCCTGCAAACACTCTGAAACACACTGAATTACCAAAGCTTTTAGTGAGATTAAACTGCTGACAAATTAATCAGCCTTGATTGATGAAACTCTTGTTTGAATCACTAAATGAATCTGTTTGATACACTCCTTAAAGGTTTTTGTTTTACCATTATTTCTTTCCTAGGAAATGTTGTGTTTGGAGAGCCTATCACGGCCAGCCTGGGGACTGATGGGACACATTACTGGAGCAAGAATTGGGCCAAAGCGGCTTCTTTTGTAACATCACCTCCTCTCAGCCCTGATCCCACTACTCCAGACTATCTGAACACACTGCTGTCCAGGTGTGTATCATAGCACATCCCTCTGGTTAGATTGTTGACCTGTCTATCATGTTGTGCTTGGTACAGTTGTATATAATTTTTATCATCTGATATTAATGTAGTGTGCATAGATAACACAACACAAAAGCAAAGCAGGATACAGTACATTTAAATGTTATAGTTGCTTGTCTCATACTTCAATTCCTATCCAATTCACACATTGCTCGTTGCTTAGATTCATTTAAATTCAATTGGCATGAGCACTAATTTAATTTTATCTGCAAGTTCTATAGACACAGATGAATAACACAAATGACCCAAATTAGCTCCATGGCTACCATACAGGCTGGTATAGCAACAAATAAAGCATGGCTGATTTAATTTAAACGTTTTGCTGAAAATTCTGCCTTCAATCTCTTTACCCAGTTGTCATCAGAAGGCAGTTGCCCTTGAACCAAGCCATTTTTGTAAGTTAGGAATATAAAAGAGAAGATAGAATATAGTCAAAAATATGTTTATATGTCCTTCTGTGCACCTGCTGCCTGTATATAGGTGTGCAAACATTAAACAGCATTCAATTAAATTAATGCAGGAAACTGGAGTTGTGGGTTTTAAAATTGCTTATGATATATTTTTGTTGACTTTGTCTGGTAAGTGAGTTAGAGCATCATATGGAAACAGGAAACATTAGTAACGGTTTGTACTGGAAAAACAAACTCTGGCACCCGGCATATTCAAATTACTCACAGTCCTTGTTCTAAATTTGTTGCGCCTCTCCTGCTAAAATAAATAAACATCTTCCCTTGTCCTTGTGCAGAACTTTACTTGCATACACAGATTGTGCTGTGCTGGCATACTTATGTGTTCACTTTTCATTTTTCTTTGTCCCCCAGTGGAGACCTGAGTGTGACTGGCAGTGCCCACTGTACCTTCAGTGTGTCCCAGAAGGCCATTGGCAAGGATGATTTCACTCAGATCCCAGAAGGTGTCAATGGAGTGGAGGAGAGGATGACCCTCATCTGGGATAAAGCTGTGGTGAGAACTGAGGTTTTTTATAAATAATGGGGGATATTTAGTCTTGATTCACTTGGTCTCTTTTTAAACCAGTCGTCTCCATTCTCCATTCTGTGATGCTCAGTTTGAGCTGTTTGCTCTTTGCTCCACAATTTTCTCATCTTTGCGGTTTCTATTTCTATTTTTGTATTTTTACAAGGACGCTTATTTTTGTAACTGTCTCTGTCTTTATTCTCTCCTTTTCTATCTCCACATCTGTCCTTTCCTTCACCCTTGGATACAGCAAACTGCCCTCATTTTTCCCTTTTCCTTCTCTCTCGTTATCACTGCATCAGTGTACTGCTGACAGACACAGAGCATGGAGGTTTATACAGCTTTGGAGTGTTATGCTGCCTCTAAAATGTAGATAAGCTTATTAAGTTTTAAACTGACTCTATTTTTTTTAAGACAATTCCTTAAAAGTTGGACTGAATGCAACCTTGTGAGGTGCTGGTAGGTGTATTTTATAACTAATCTGTCTGTATCACATATATGCATTTCCATATGAGGTAAAAGGGGTATTATTGTATTGAGTAACCAGTCACCATTTGTTGGAAAAATAGTTACTATTCCCTGTTTTTGCTTGTTTCACTGCTAGACTACGGGTAAGATGGATGAAAACATGTTTGTGGCAGTCACCAGCACCAATGCAGCTAAGATCCTGAACCTGTACCCTCGTAAGGGTCGGATTGCTGTGGGCTCTGATGCCGACCTGGTCATCTGGGACACAGACTCCCTCCGCACCATCACTGCCAAGACACACAACTCGGTACGTACTGTGTGCACTGATCAAAAGTTCGTACTTGTATTTGTTTCAAGTTCACCAACACTGAGAGGACTTTTTCTTGACTAATGTCAATGCAGTTATTCTTACGGTAATTCCTGATGGCCTCCATTGTCCATTATGTTCTCTTATGCAGATATGTGATTAGCTAAACATAAGAGCCTTGGGTGAAATGGGGGAGAGAGAGATTAAAAAATGCTGTTAAAAAGGCTCTCTTTTAGTGAAAGAGTAAAGCAGGATATGAGATAAGTGCCTAAATCTCTGTGTGTATGTATGCAAGAGACAGTGAGATAAAGAGAGAGAGAGAGAGAGAGAGAGAGAGAGAATGGGTGAGGGAGAGAGAGCACATTTTTGAACAGCTTCCAGTGAGCTCTCAGTTCCTCTGAACGGAAATGAAGTCTCAGTGGATGTTCGCTACTAATACGACTCACACTGCACTCGCCACATGACCAGCTCTCAATGTAAAGTTGAGCCTCACTAAATCCAAAAACCCTCAGCAATGACTTATGTAATGATTTGTGCTGTATAATCAAGAGGTATTTCCTGCCACTATATCACATTCACTTGAACAGATCATCCAAAAATATTTTCATGATTGGACAGCCATAGTGGGTTTAAAGAATGTCATTCATTGCACAGGATTATGTAACAGTAAATACTAATATTTCAAATACTTCCACAAACTTAAGAGATTCTCAAACAGCTTTGGTCAGAAGAAATTTGATTTCATGGCAAACGTATCACTCAACATGCAGTCCAAATGAGAGCCAGTAGTATAACCTGGGCACCATTTACTCTATCTGCCTCCTTTGCAATCCACTTCTTTCACTTAGATTTTGTTGCTTTGGGGTGCCCTGTTGGCCTAGGTTCTGACCATTAATCACAGCTGGAAGACAATCCAATCTTCATATATTAATATTTGGAAAAATCTATTGACTTGACTGCAATTTAACAACATGAGTAAAATATAAGTTATTGCCTGTTAGTGCTGCTTCCTTGTTATCCTCCTGTAATTGGGTCTGTCTAGCTCTGTCACTTACTTTCTTTATTGAATGTCTGGTCCAGTAGTCTGGACATCACCGTGATTCAAAAACTTTCTTAAATTACACTTAATGACATTCTGAAATTGAGCATTTTTGTCAATTGTCATGTGTTCAGAGTTAAATGTTGAAATGAAACTACATTAGAAACATGTGAAACTATTATCCCATTGCAGATGTTTTTTGTCCTTCCTCAGAGGGTTCAAGACAAGGGCCTCACAAAGAACACACTCACATACATTATGTCTTACTCACACACACATTTTACATAAACTGTGTGTACAGTCCACCTGGCACATGTGAGTAATGAGAGGTTTCTACCATTACACAGACATTGGAGGATCCCAAACAGGCCACTCGGCAGCAGAGGAAGTGTCCGCACAGGAAATTAAGGCTTTACTAGACTAGCACAAATCCTGCTTATACAGAAATACATGAGTGAGGGGAGAATGCATTTACTAACAATGTATGTAGGTTGGTCATAGGAATGATGAGGTGAAGTTTGTAAGTTTTAATTTGCCTTGCTTTAAGTTGTAATGGCAGTTGTTTAGTAGCAGAGAAAGAGCACTTCTGTGTCTCCAAATGGAGGAATGGAAAGAGAAAGAGAGAACTGGACTAATAATATGCTTTCTCCAAATGTGGAGTACATCCACTGAGGATCCGTGGGTTCTTACATAATGATGTCACCCTTTCATTTCCTGCTGGTCGTCCTCCCAGATAAAATAAAACAGAAGAGAGCAGAAGACCAGAGCATGACAGCTCCCAGTTCCAATAAATCCACCTTAATGGATAGTCTGACGACAGGCCAAACAGGAGCGGTGCTCTTTACCAAGACGCTTTGTTGGGGAATGCCTTCCCCTGTAGAGTGCATATGACTTAAGACTGTGCTGTATCTTAGTTTGTTATCAGTAAACCCACATCTGGTCTGGACTGTTTGTTGTTGTCAACATAAAAATACATAGATCAGACAGAACAGGCAGCAACAGATACACTTTGAGACACACTCAACTTAAGTCATGACATCATGTTTGGCATGCAGCAAGTCTTAGTTATGTCCTGTTCTGGCCTGAATTTGGACGGCAGTAGAAAACAGGGCCGTGTGCAGAGGAAGTAAGCAACAATGGAATGAGGGGAGGGGACCATCACAGATCACAAACATGTAGAGAAAAGAAAGTTGGCACAAGGGAAATTGGAAGAGAATGAATAATGTACAGTGCTGAAAAATGCAAGGGATTACATAAATCAAGCCAAAATGGGTGAGGGAGAGAAAAACAGAGGATGAAAAACAGACATAGAAAGAGGGATAAATTGAGAGAATGAGGTAGCCAATGAGAGGAAGGGAAAGAGAGTGAGTAGTAATATAGAGGCATTCAACGCCAGCTGGATGATGGCAGCTGTTTGTACATGCCAAACAGACAAGTGTAAGAAACAAGGTGATGAATGATAAAGAGTGGGAGAAAAGGAGTGTGGGATTAAGAAATAGTTGAAGAGAAAGATAGTTTATGCCTCCACTTCTTGTCTCTTCATTCATCAAGCCCACAGCTCCCCCTGTTGATTTCTCCCTCACCCCTTCCTCAGTCCTTTAAGGGAAGAGGTTCAAGAGGTTTCATTGATGCTTTTCTTAGAGCTCCGTAACTGCTCTTGGAGTCTTTTGTTCCTCGTCCTGTTAATTTTAGACAGTATGTAAAAAACTTTGTTATGATTTGTGAGATGGATTTAAAAAGTCAGGCTTCTTTGACTGGATGCTCTATTAATGGCATAACATGATAAAATGTGTTTCTCTCTAAATATAAATATGGTGCACATTTACACATGTATGTTACTGTAAATGTATTACTTCACATGTATCTGATCATTTTATACTTGTGCTTTAGGTGGCTGAGTACAATGTCTTTGAGGGCATGGAGCTGCGTGGAGCCCCACTCGTGGTGATTTGCCAGGGGAAGATTGTTCTGGAAGATGGGAACATGCATGTCACCTCCGGTGTGGGTCGCTTCATTCCCTGCGCTCCCTACCCTGACTATGCCTACAAGCGTGTTAAAGCCAGGAAGCAGGTAAATACAGGTTTTTACCTCTCTCCAATCCACTATTTACATTTACACTACACAGCAATCATTTTGTTGAGGCAGTTGTCATATCCTTAAACAGTATGCAACAGTATGTTCTTTTTGAAAGGTAAACCCTTATACTGTAGATTGTACATTGTGAAGGTACCCTTACCGTTTTTAATAATACAAAATTAAGTTGTGCTGAACAAATGAATACAAAAAGAATTCTTACAGAAAGAAAAGGTTAAATCAAAAAGCTATCATAGTACTCATAACGCTGTTGGACTGTGCGTGATCTCTGGTAGATGCAGTGCCAAAAACACCACAACTATGCCCACTTAGCACCAAAGATGACCACGATGGGAGTCTTGTGGACTGTAAGCAAGGAAGTATGGGCTGAAATAGAAGTTGCAATGGTGGAGAGAAAACAGGGTGGAAGCAGTGAAGTGGGATGTGGGGGAGATACAGTCTGACATCAGCCTCTAAGGTTCAGCCACAGGGCGCTCGCTGCGCTTTTACACTGTAGTGCAAAAGGTCTGTGCAGTGAGGGTGGTCGGGGATTTGTCATCATGGTTTTAAAAAAGATGCAGTGAGTTTGGATTTTGATGAATTTCCACAGAGACCTACCACACACAGTGAAAGGGTTACCAAAGAGTCCCAGATTTACCATTTACCCTAGTTTTAAGAAGACTCCTCTGATTCTAAAAGCTATTAAGAACATTGCTTCTATATAACAAGAAAGTGTCGACAGGTTGGCAAAATAAATATTAAGACAATAAATATAGCATGAAATCTACAGCGACACATTATAGAGCTACATCAGTTACAAGTAAAGAAATGTCTTGTGTCGCACATTCATCAAAAGTGATATGTAAGTGTAAAATAAAAGTCATAGAGGAGAAATAACATTAATAAGTGTGAAGTGCACTGCTACATTAATTGAAAACAAGCATCAAACTTTAATATAAAATATATTACACTCTAATATGAGTGCACATATTAGTTGCAGTCATATTCCTGTATACCACAAACGCCTGTTTAAAATACTAGCGAACCTAGGACTCTGTGTTGGTGGGCACCACCAGTATGTACTCTGGTGGTGCCTACCAACACAGAGTGCTAGGTTCGCTGTCCAGTAGCTGGACCTCATTAGAAATAAAAGGGGAAAAGTTAATTCCTATTGCCTCAAAGTATTAAGAGTTAGCCCCATTTAACCATTTGATTTAACAGTTTAAACTCAAAGCAGACCCTGCTCTCTGCTCTCTTGCCATCTTACTTAAGGGCCAAAAATCTCATTGTTCAACCATTTCCTAATTTGCAGCTGGCTGGTGATGAGAAAATGTAGCTGTAGTAACAGTGTGCTGTTTATCTTGGTAGCAGTCTCTGTTATGCTTTCTTCATTCACAGATGTCTCTTTTTAACTCTTGACAGAGCTTCCAAAATTCCACTGAGTCACGCCACAGACAGTGGTTCGTTCACTACAAGCATAAAGTTTCAACTTGCTTTGATATTGCATACAAATACTGTATGTTTTTCTCCTTCAGTCTGTTAAAGAGATTGCTTACTTATGTTTGTATGTCTATGTTTGTGTATGTGTGTGTGTGTGTGTGTGTGTGTGTGTGTGTGTGTGGAATCTGGAACTAGTTGTCTGCAGGAAAAAGGCTCCCTCAAAAATGCATATACAATTCAGACACCAACAGTTGCACAACAAAAACTATATAATGGTAAACAGAATTGGATTCAGTTATAATAGACATTTTGTGATATCAAACACCATAATTTCTCTGTATGTTCTTACCCATCCTTTCTTTATTTCTCTTTCCATCTCCTCTATCTTTGCTCTTGTTGTTTGTCGTGTAGCTGGCGGTCCTGAGGGCAGTACCCAGGGGAATGTACGACGGTCCAGTGTCTGAATTCTCTATGTCCCGTGGTGGTACCCCTTCTGCCTCTGCGAGAACCTCTCCCACCAAGCAGCCCGTCAGAAACCTGCACCAGTCTGGATTTAGTCTAGCAGGTAACCCTGCACTATGCGGTGAGCCCAGCTTTTTAATACAACCCCCACCCATGTAGTCCTTCCTTTCATCTGTTTTCGGTCTGTATTGATTTATTCTGTATGAGACATCAAAGGATCATGCATGTTCATCAGGCGAGCTCCCATCACGCCCCCCTTTTAACTCAACGCAGCTACTATTTCATGGCGTGAAGGACAACAGTCATGTGATTTTTAGCTTGTTGTCACTTTATGAATGATGCATTCACAGTCCATGGTGAAAAGCATCGAGCATGTAGAGTAATCTGATAATCTCTCATTATCCTGTTTCATAAGTAATGATGTGCACAGTATGGCATGCATTTGCCTGCAGTATATCACGCGTCCTTGTTAAAGGGTTTATCTCTGTTTTATATGATGATTTGTCTGTTTATGCATGTCATTAAGTTGGCTGCCTTAGCTCTTTTGAGTTTTAATGAGGCACACTGCAGACGTTGAATTCAGTTAAGTGTATGTACACAATCAGTTAAAGTTGGCTGGTTTTCTGTTTTCCTTTAGTGTGGTTTGACATGAAGCCAACATTACCCATAAAACCATACAAACTGTACTTTTGACCCAAACTCATGATGGGAATTATAATATAATATATATATATATATATATATATATATATATATATATATTTAAATAGAAGATAGCAACAGAGTCTTCTGTGTAATGCACATTGTACTAAGCTAATTATGGTTTATATTATCCTGTATACCTGCATGTATTTTATAGTGCTTGTATTCAGAGTTCAGAGCCTCAATCCCGTTGAATCCCTCTCTTACAGTATCTCACACCTCTCAAATAAAATACTATTAATTGCTCTTTAGTTCCCTATGACTTCTTAAGTGCAGCCTCTTTGTAATGTCAAGCTAAAATCGGAAATTACGTTTTTTCCACGGTTGCACTTGTAAGTCACGCTGGATATGAATTTTGGCTCAAGGCCTAAAATGTATACTGTACAAGATTTCAGTCCAGGCATCTGGACATGGTCTATTAAGAAAGCCTATCTAATGTGAGAGTTCACAACACCATGTATTCACATTCAACATCTGTTCCATTATGCAGAGCTGCTGAGTGACAGTCTGATGGTGCCCATATGTAAGGTCAGCATTGGACTAGCTTAGATTTAGAAAACCAATGTGATAAATTGTTTTTGTCAGGCGACCAAACAGTGAAACTCTGTACACATGTTAAAATAATGAACCAGATAGTCAGTGTTTCCACTGTTTTATAATCAAACAGAGCAACCATAGCTGTTACTGTAGTCATTCTGTCCTCCCTGACAGACTAAATGCGTCCATGTGTGACCTTGAAGGCAAAATTAGTAGGATTTTCCTAAAAAACAATGTATAGACTCAAACAAAGACAATCCCCCTCAATCATCACTTCGTCCCACTAAAAGTGTTTGGTGGTGTCTGCATGTGCAGAGACCCTGCCTTTTGCCTGTATTGTTCTTATTTTGCTGTGTTTGGGACATTTCTGGTCGTCAACCTTGTTGAAATGGGTGTGTAGCCCCCAGCCCATAACTGCACACAAGGTGTGAGGGCAGGACTCCATAAAATCATAGCAACCAGGTGCCGGATCTTAAGCACGCATCCGAGATGTGTCGTTGGGAGAGGAGGGGCGAACCTACAAAGCCTACTCATTCTGCCTTTAAATCAGTGGTAGCTACCCCTTTTAACTTAGACAGAACCCAGCTGTACTCACTATGGTACTGGCTCTCTTTGTGAATGCATGTACTATTTTTAATGTTGGATAACTCATTTTGAAAGAGAAGTTCACAGAGTGATGTTTAGCCTTTGGCTGTCTTTACGAGCGTAACTGATGTGCGATACCTCATTGATGAAAGAAGGAGGTGACCTTTGCTGGAAAGAATTTCCACATATGAGTACATGAATTTCGAGGCGAGTGAGACTGCTCCTGGTTTCCCAGGCTTTGTAATGGCTATGTGTGTTTAATAGTGTGAGTATTGTGTGTCATTTGTAATGTGTACATATGTGCGTACTGTCAGAATGAGTCAGTCTTCCATCTATTTTAGTTTTTTCCAGGGACACCACCTGCAGAGTTAATTTACTTGTCTGGAAGGAGATGGGCAAGATTGTTTGCTTAGATGCAGTGTATCATAGTCTGACATCATTCTACTTTCCATTTATATACTTGCTGATAAATTGTTGCAGCAAGACACCCTGGCTCATCCTTTGGAAACACCATGTGTTATGTCAAACTGTAGCTTCTCTTGTTAATGTTTCAGCAGCACTCATACTGCACTCCCCTGTCATCTCATTGACACATACTGTATGTCATAGGCAATAATGATGTGTCTTGAAAAACCTCTAGTGCCTGGAAAATAATAATGTGTGTGCTGTGCATGACAACAATTATGTGTGTGCTATGACGGCATAAAAGCTATTCTGAGAAGAGTAAGGGATTAACAAATGATACCAGTAGTTTCCAGAGGAGAGCAAAAGGACTAAATCATGTCATCGGCATTTGTATAGTCTAACAGGTCTGTGTCAATGTCCATCCTTTTCTCCATTTCTTGTAATTGTATCCTCTGCAAAGACAAGAAATATATGGAAATAATATAATGTATGGAAATCTGATTTGTAGCATTTATTTTAAGCATTGATTTTCTTTGTGTTAATATCTTCTGGAGCAACACAAGTACAAACCACTATCTTCTAAACATCCTACATTCTCTCTTTGCCCTGGCCTTTTTTGTTTTCACACCTTCTTCTTTCTCCCTATGTGCTCCTTTTCCATGCAATTCGCTTCATCTTTATCTCCTTCTCTCTCTCTCTCCAGGTCCCCCGACCCCAGATGACATCCCCATCAGGCCTGCTGGTCGCCGTATTGTAGTGCCCCCTGGTGGTCGTTCCAACATCACATCCCTGAGTTAAACGGCGGGAGGACGAGGGGGCGCATCCAGAAATGGACAGCAGCCAGAGTGCAGGATTGAGGGTGGGAGGGAGGGTAAAAGGCAAGGGAGGGAGGGAGGGAGGGAGGAAGAGATGCATAGGACCATGATTAGTTAAAAGTTAAAAGAGCAAAACACTGAATCCTCATGCCTTACCTGTCACAATGCTACCTTGCTCAGATGAGAACAGTATCCCTTTTCCTGGGGAATTGAAGTGGTTTGGAGTTGTTACTAAATATTAAAATCACCACCAAAGCACAATACACATGAGCAGTCTTAGCCTCACTTCTTCTCAGTATAGAATACACTATAAATACAGTAAAAACATGTTCACTTGGTGCTTTGGTAATGAGAAAATACAAAGGTAAAATGGCACATCCCCACATTCAACCAAGTAAGAAAACAAGCTATGCTTTTAAAGGAAAATGGATACTGCCTTTCTCAGAATGATGCTATGGTTCTTACATCCTGTTTGGCTTTCAATGTCACCCCCTTTTCAGTAGCCTGCTTTCTCCATAGTCAGCAAAACATAACACTAGATCCCACTTTAGCCATGTATTATCATGCAGTTCCATTGATTAGCTCTAGGTGGCATTGTATGTACGGTAAATGTAATGTAGCTTTGTGAATGATGTTGTTGCAGCCTGTTTTGGGTTTACTGGACCAAGTAAAAGGTATTTATCAAATCTTAGAGCGGGAGTGCTTTTGGACATGGAGCTGCATGGGCCACATTAACACAGGTGACGTGATCCATGATCCTTTTTTGCCCCCCTCCTCTGATGTGCTTGATAAATTCCATCCCCATGATGTATTGATTGCATAATTATTGGTGTTAAAAAAGGAACATAGACACACCTGCTCAAGAAAAAGATTTTGGGAAGACAAAAGAATAGAAAAAAAAGAAATATTTGAAGTGGTTTTAGTATTCTTTATCCCCAAAAGCTTTATGTCAGTTTTTATTTCCTGCACTCCATCATGGCCCTATAAAGATGAACATGGCAAGAAACCGTCCTTTGCATTTGCTTCTAGCTAATTGCCTGCTCCTGTCATCCTGAAATCATGTTATGAAGGAGAATGGAGGAAAAAAAGTTGTAAAAACCTGTTCACAAGAAGCACGAATAAACTCAACTTGTCCCTTGTAGCTAAACCGTAACTAGCATTGCAATTGAGGGCAAAGAAAAAACAAAAAAACAGATGCAATGAAATGAATAAATAACAAAAACCTGCTTTCAGATAACAGCACTTCACCTCTGGCTTTACTTTTTCATTGCTGACAAACTGGGCTCTCATTTTAGGACAAGAGAAAGACCATCATTACCTTGTCATCCCAACATAGGCCTCTAACGCAATCCTGACCAATACTAATTCAACATCAGCCTAAATATACATGTGGGTCCAATTCAGTTTACCTTAAACACTCTGGATCTGATTGTGTTGGGGGGGTTTAGAGCTCTTTTTTATGTCTCTGCTGTTTTCTGATAAGGCAGGGGGTTGCGGTGCAGCAAGGGAAGCTTTTATTTTGTCGCTGTCCCACCGTGGGGGAGGGAGGGAGAGAGGGAGGGAAGGAAATGGCGTTTTTATTTGGCAGTGGTGTGGCAGACTGAGGCAGGCACAAGTGGTGGTTTGTTGTATTTATGTTGGTTTGACAACCTTTGTTATTGTTTTTATGTTGTTTCTTTTTTACTGTTGTATCAAAACCCAGAGATGGCAGGTCAAAAATAAGGTGTGTTGTGGAGGTATGATTTGTTTCCTGAATAAACATGAGTTGCAACTGACTGACTGAGATATCTTGTTCATTATTATTTAATTTAACAGCAAGAAGTATGCATGAAGGGTTGACATATGACAATTAAGGTTTATATATAATATTTATTAATTAATTGAATAGTTCTTTCAAGAGACTCCTATCATTTGATCTTGAAGTGTAAAAGCAGGCTTTATAGTCTCTTAAAGTCTTTTCATATGACAATATATTCTAAATTATATTTAAAAATAGCCTGCTTCACGGATTAACTTTGCACATTTTGTTCAATTTACGCTTTGGCATTGCATTTGGATTTTAAATTAAATAATATAAGGCTGTTCTTTTGTACTGATATTTTTTTTTTTTACTATAATTTGTAAGCTTTAAGTAGCTTTGTACTTACTTTCTTCAGTAAACCAGAAGCACTGTATCTTTAAGCTCCATGGCAACGGTCGAGAGTGCTGTAACTGTGATGTAATTCACCTTAACGACCATCAGGGGGAGCCCTGAGTAGCACAAGTACCTACCTGCACTTAAAGTGTGTTTTGAAGTTGTAGTCCTCGCTAACAACGCCGAAAACTCTCCCTTGCTGATGCTGACAATTTCACCTGTCTGGCAGTTGGTTCATATTGTAAACATTTCTTCAATAAGCAACTTAATTAACGTCAAATGTCTGCCATGGGCCCTGAAACGTGTCAGTAGAAAGTGTCAACTGTCAGCTATCTCACTAGTGTTAGCCACTGATAATATGTATAAGGTTTTAGCTAATTTAACCTAGCTTTAGCAACATGGTGGCACCATCAGCTTCTAAATGAGCCAAGGGAATCCCAACCAATAGAGGTATTATTTATTCTTATTGCCACATTTATTGTTTTTAACTTAGCAACAACAACATTCAAGCCAATAATGACACTTTTCATTGCTGTTATGATAACAGAGTTGTACATGGCTATCATTGGCCTGACTCAGGTAAGTTTGTGCTGCTGAGACAGAAACACCTGGAAAGCTAATGTGTTGTAGTACTCAAGATATTTTAGGTTTTTGTTAATACAAAGATAGTCACACTTCCTGTGAAGCAACTACAGCTTACTCAGCCTTAGTCAATATTATCGGCTGCTAAATAAGTGTCAATATTACAGGGAGAAATTGTGAAAGAAGAAAAGAGTAAAAAGAAGTTAAAGTGAACTTATAAGATGACACATCACAAAGGTAAGTCTCATATATTACCTTTCCTTCTCTGTCTATGGATAATCATTAAAGCTGTTCCTGCTTCACAGACTCAGATAATGTTTGTCATGAGAGGCTGAAGTGTGTCCAAACTGTGTAAGTTTAGTACATTATAAAAATAATTTAACAAAACATGACACTCTCACTGGGGTCTAAGTACTTGGCAGAATCAAGTATCCACTCAGTCTCATTATGTTCCCTAGTAGTGGGGGGATACTCACCCTCACTGTGAGGCCTACTGGTAAAACTGCTGCTGTGATGTCCCACGCGCATTGTTTAATATTGAGTAAATGCCTCATAAAATCATAAGCCATCATGACAGGCGGCAGAGATGACGATTGTAAAATGCGGAATTGGTCTGGATAGAGGGATGAGTCAGCAAACCTCAGTCTAATCTGGTGTGCTGCGTGTGGTGGTTGTATGTTGGTATATTTGACTGTAGAATATTTCTGGAGAGGGTAATGTACGTTAATAGTTATTATCCACCATTTCCTTACTTAAATGAGAAAGATCTTAAATGTGTGTGTGTGTGTGTGTGTGTGTGTGTGACAGCAAGTAGATAAGAGTTTAAATAATATATATATTTGGGCCAAGGTTGTCTGCATTTTATCTGTGGTGATTCCAGGCAGATTGGGAAGGCATTCATCAACTGAAAATCAGATCAGCCATTAATGTGAAAAAGTGCTGCCTCAGCTCATCCCACTGGGAACAAGAGAAGGGACTGTGCCCTCTAGATGACCTAGGGAAGTGGTGGACACAGATCTGTTAACTGTGGATGAGAAGAGGAAATGCCTGTGGTGCGTGTTTGATACTGAGGATTCATTATCAAGGAATGCCCTGAGACACATTGGAAAAGACAGAGAGAGAGAGCATGTTAACACTTTGCCAAAGTAGACTCATGTGAAGTTAAACAGCAACCTCTCTGAGTTTGGGATGAGGATTGCGTTATGTTTCCACTTCTCCTTCTATTGTATTTAAAATGTGTTCAGTGCTTATCTTTGTAGCTCAGTTATATGTTTATATGTTAACCATGGGTGTTCATACCAAGTCTCTCCACCCCTCTGTATGTTTTAAACTGCACTACTAGTCAGTTAACATTTGGGGGCAGCATTATATTTAGGAAAGTAGAGAGCAATCGACACCTACACAATCACAGTACATACCTTTATATCCAAGTTTGGATTAGGGTATAGATCTTTTAGCATATTTTCCCCTTTTTATATCCTTTCACAATTCCAAATTATATTAAAAAAAACTTTTATTATTGATATCATTCCCCATCCCTTTTACTTATTATATAATCCTTATTCAATAAAATACCGTAATTCAGTAAGACATAAAGTGAAATAAGCACAGGCATAGCCAGATTGGTTCAGAAAAAAGAAAGTCATTATTATTTAAGGCACACCTTAATAGTTTGCAACTCCATCACATTTGAATACAATAAACACACAGTGACAACTGAAGGACAACAAAACCTTGATAAGAATGAAATTCACAGGTGGGGAACAATTCTGTTCCCGGACTAATTTTTTTTTTTTTTAGATAGACGTTTTGTCGAAAATTTGTATTACCTGGATCAAATACTATTTGTCAATGATTATTTCATACGTTCACCATTTGGAATGGTTCCATCTGCTACATCAGCAGTCACTAACCTGATGCGATGAACTCAACACAACTGGTCCTCCTATCATATATGAACAAATTAAGATAATCATTCACAAATAATATTTACTCAGGGTATACTTAGGATTAGTCCATCTGTTTAACTACCCCACTATATCGTACAGGAAACCACCTTTGGATCTGTAAAATTACATCAATGACAACAACAACAACAACAACACAAAGGTAAGTCAAAACATTGTATCAATTTCCAATAGAAAAGTGCCAACAGTAATGAATTGAATAGAGTGAAATCTGTTTTAAATTTAATTACACGTATCATAGGCTTGAAAGGAGTGAGTCATATTGCAGATATTGCAGATCAAGGTCAATAGAATGACTAGGCATTAGTAGAAATCACATTTACTTACTGGTTGTGAAAAAAAGCTCAGGTTTTTTCTACCTACACATATAATTTAAGGGTACCAGCTGTGTGCCATATCTATGGTATAAGGCATCCCTCTGCAAACATCAGAGGCAGGTGTGGTTTTCTTAGACATGGTTTTAGCCAAGTCTGCAGTAAATCTTACACTAAGAATGAGGGGCATTGCCTTTCCTGATGTTTATTTGTTTCCTTCATTGTTTTTCCTGTTAACCAAAAATTTGAAAATCAATATATTCTCCCTCTGTGCTATCCAGGTAGTGCCAAATTAATGTTGAATACCATCTGCAAAAGACTGCTGTTACAGAATGTATTCTTGTATGGAAGCAATTAATTGCAAATACAAATTTACAGACTTATCTGGTGGCACATATGTAATTGGTTGTATCCCACACAAAAAGGAAGGACATTAAAAAATTATTGGACAAAAACAAAATTTCGATGCAGACAGTAACTGGAAAAAAACAAAAAACGAATCTTATCTAGGACTCAGCTTAATCCTTGTCTATAAAACCATCCCTAAGGGAATAAGTGTTTACTCACAGCTTTAGATTTTTTTTTTTTGCCTCCCTGTGCATAAATGCTACAGTTGATGAAGAAGCATGTGCAAAGCAAGGTTCAGTGCAGAACATATAACATCTACCAGCTACCTTTTCTATGTTTTCATAGCTACAAACCTTTATTTCAAGACCCAGCTGGTCATTTGCAGATTGAGGCAAAGGTCAGTTCGAAATGTCAAGTGTTTTAAATGAGTTTAAAACCAGTTCGACAAAAATCTTTCATCAGAAGGTGTGTTTACTTGGTGTGCTCAAAGCTTTCAACCACATCTGGTGGCCTTAACTAAGCAATAAACTTCCAAGGTCAACAATGGACCCTCAAGCTTAACCATAAAACCATTGTTTGTCTGCGTTTGAGATTCTTGTATTGTCTTAAAGCATATGCAAGTATAGAAAACTTGCAGCATTTTTTGCCTATATCTGCAGCTGATGGAGCTGGGACATTATACCAAATGTTACAATCCTACCATCTTTGTTAGCTTCACTAGCAAAGCTAAGCATAATGACCACTACCACCATGTATCTGCTGCTATGATAAAGTGAGCCATTCACGCTCAAGCCTACAGTTCAGCTCTCTATTTTCTATCTTAGAGGAATCTGTGGTTGCTGTCTTAAAAACAAAGGCCTCGTTTTACCCTATCAACCTCTCCATTTTAATCTTTTTTACTCTTAGTGTCATGCTCGACTCTCACGTCATGTAGATGCAGCCACACAAGTGTTTGTTTTTTGTCTTGTTAAGTCCATTCCTATGTAGCACTGGATAACTAGTGTTATATTTAACTGTAATTAACCAGAAAATACCTCGCTGAACTGAAAAATCTGAGTTTCTCGCCCAAGACAGCAGCAGCACATACAGCTTTCAGCCATAGTTGACTACATCAGTCTTTTATTTTCTGTAACAGCTGAGCAGATGCGGCATTATTTCCTTTTCGGCAGGGGAGTGACTTCCTCTTCACTTCAGCAAACTGCCCAGAGTAGAGGTTGAGCAGACCTTAGAGCACCAGAGTGATGTAAGGGAGCATGATGTGAGTGACACTCTGTTGAGAATCATTCTTCTTGGTGACAGCAAAGCGAAAAGTCTGGCTGTGGCATGGCTGCTGCTCCAGGAGTCCCGTTTCACTCCTGCAGTTCTGGAGCTATTGTTATGTGTTTTTTGTGGATGAACCGTGATGCATACTGCATTTGCGTTTGTATAGACAATGTAGTGGTGCAGGAACATTGAAGACCGCATTTGAGTGCCTGTGCTGATATAACAATAGGTGTCTGTGTGTAACTAGCTGATCTACAAGCTGTGGACAGATGCAAGTGATAAGGGAGTTGGTAGGGATCTCGGGTCATGAGACTTATCCTGATAAGTAGGCAGCCGGTTCAACATTGTTGTTCTGTCCATCCTCTATTGCCTTGTTCTTCTCACTCATGGACAACTCAGAGGAGTCTGAGTCCACCACTGCTTTCCTTGACCTAGTAAATAAAGAACATCTATTATTAATATTGAACATATGCCAGCACCTAAAGAAAGTATAAAAAGATACCTCTATCAGAAACACGATCAGCCATAGTTAAATTATTTTACCCAGCATAACACTGCCCAACCATTCACGCACGCCTTTAACAAAAAAAGGTCTAATTTCTTTTCCTCAAAATCTTAATCTTCTATAAGATTCAGTATCTATTTGGTATGCCTTCTGCATCTAAGAATGATGAACGATTTAGACAGATTATAACAGACAATTATTGACCTAAATCTCTGTTCTTATCAAATATCTTATTAAAAGTCTTCTGTTGTAATATTATTATTCAGTTCTATTATTCTCTTGTTTTCCCCTTAAAGATTTGACTAGCTTTAACATTTACTTATGCAAATAAATAATGGATGTTGTCTCTTTAATTTAGTCAGTTTTGGATTTACCTCCAGTATATAGTCAACATGGGGGACCCTATCTGTCAGTTGTTGTGTTTCTGCCTTAATCACACACCTACATATATTGGCTAGATCCTTTGCCACAAATAGCCACAATACTGTCCTTTCACACCATCCTACATGCTTTCAACAGCCAGCAAGTAAGTTTGTTTTTTTCACTTTAAAACAAGGCCTAGAAACTGCAGAACATTTTATCTATCAGTCAACCAAACATCATTTACAGCATTTATCAAATATTATTATACAAACTATTTTAACTTTAAGTAAAATTATGCCCTTATTTTGAAAAACAAGCATTATTTCTGGAATGCTTTAAGTTTCACAACACTTATGGTTGTGATGTTTACTTAAAGTTAATACTACAGTGGCAAGAAAACTAGATTTACAATATTGTCGAGAATGTGTATAGGGCATCTAATGGAGGTTCCTTACTTTTCTCTGTTGAAGACAATGAAGTCTCTCTGGACATTATCCAATCGCTGCTGCAACTGACCATTCTGGAGGAGAGACAAACACAGAACAATATCAGCAACTCAATGACCACTGCAAGCAATTCTGAAAAAGCAACAAACAAAAAAAAACCTTGGCCAATCATTAGTCATTATTGTTCCCAGCTGAATCGAATTACATTAAATGCACATACATTAGTTTTGGTGTCACTTGTTAGAGACATAACTTGCAGTTTTGTGGTACCGGCTGCCTGACACACTCACACATGGTATAGTGCAAAATGTCCTACAGGCAATACACACTACTTTCCTCATGTGAGTTTCTTCCCCTTTAATAAGATGCCAGAAGAGGAAATTGACTTAACTTTAGAGGACACTTATGCTCTGATGTATCCACCTGCTCCATGTACTCATACATATTTGGCCCACTTAATCAAGTGAGAACATCCGGCCCTGTCATGCCAGGCTGTTCTCACAACTACTGTAGTGCCAAGGCAAGTAGACAGGTGCTTTTTCACTCTCCAAAGGAGGCATTGAGGAGAGAGATCATAGAGATACATCATCATTATGACACTGTACTTTGTGTTTGTGTATGGTGTGTGTGTGTGTGTGTGTGACAGAGAGACAAACTAGCAGAGATGCAAGAACACAACAGAGAAAATGAACAAATGCAGAAGGGTGTGTTCATTTGCTTGTGCAGAAGATTTTCCAAGATCTACCAATATCACTTCTGCGTGTATACACCTTTAAAACTAGGCCTCACCTGAACTAAAATACAGATTTCAAAATGAACACAAAAAACTCCAAACTGTTCACACGGTACCTCTAAAATGTCTTTACTTTGGAAGATTTCCTCAACCTTTTACGATTAGGGCAAAGAAGGGCCTCATACTCAAAAACACAGACAGTGCGTACACAAGGAGTACATGCTGCTTTCCCACACACCCCTCCAGTCAGATTGACCCTCAAACACTCCCAATTCCAGGCTCCTGGAAGCGCCTTCAGGAGAGATGTGGCTGACTCCCTGCCCAGATCTGTCAGTCACACAGCCAAGTAGTGAGGCTATGTACAGGTGCTGTCACAGTGGGGAAGCAGCCACTGGCAGACCAAAAGCCATCAACTAATTTAGGGCAGGAAAATAGAGAGAAAAAGGGAAACAGGCGAGGGTGTTGTGCACGTACATTAAAAAAAAGAACAGAAGGTGTGGAGTGCGCATTGTGTAATCATTTTGCATGTGTGCACGGGAGAAAGGAAGAGGGTGAAGAAACAAGATGCATGTTTATGATTAACATATATGTTAATTGAGGGTGGAAAAAAAAAGGCAGTCTGGTTTCTGGTTACAGTCACAGAAGTATCACAGAGAAGAATAGCAAATTTATATGGAAATACAAGGAACATAACTATATAACCATCAAGAATCCAGACAGAGACTGGGAGAACAGGGTGTGCTTGTGTGGAGATGATGCAGAATAACGAAAGGACAAAGAAACAAACAGAGCAGACAGAGACGGAGGAGGAATACTGTGCATAATTTGTCAAACATCAGTGATAGATGTGATGCATAAGAGATACGACAGATGAGACACACGGTATGATGTAGTATCTCACTGATGTTGTCATATTGACACGTTCTTAGATGTAAAGGCATGACAGAACCTGACAATAAAAAAAAAAAAAAAGCCTTTGTATAACCTTTCCACATATACCAGTTCATTTACAAAGCACATCTCTGGTTTCTCCGGGGAGTGAGGGAGGAATTAAGAATGGAAGTAAATAGGGAACTAAGGAAAGGAGAAAACAAGGAGTAAGGAAGACGTAAGAAAAATAAGGAAGGAAACATGTAAAGAAGGAAAGAAATATGATTTAACGGTGGAAAGAAGGACATAAAGATGTATATAAGAAAATAAGTAATGAAAGAGAAGGAAATAAGGATGGAACGAAAGAAGGGGAGAGAGGAGGCTGGTAGGAAGAAAGAAGTGACGTTTGGTGGAAATGACGCTCATGGACGGTACTTAAAAGAAGCTTCTGGCCTTGCAGAGAGAGCACTAACAATGCTTTAACTTCAGCCACTTCACCACTTGTTCCTCTCGCTCTGTCTCTCCCTCTCTCTCTATTTATTTGATGCTTTTAAAAAGACAGTTCAGAAGCTAATTGCTCCAGCTGCTAGATTAAACTTTCCATTTAATGAGACAAACCAACAGGGAGTGCTCTGCTGGACGAGAGCCTAACAGGGACATTTCTCAGCGATGTTCTATAGGCTTCCTGTGTTTCTGTCTGAGGCTGAGGAAAGCTTTTGTCTGTAATGTGATTGCTCATGGTTGAAGTAGGAATTTGGTCAAATTTAAACAATCTATAATAAATTAAATAATATTTGAATAATTCCTGATTCCTATCTTAAAGGTGATATACATGAAATTAATGTATGTCTGTGTACTGGACACACCGACATCACACCGGCATCTCAGACCAAAACAATGGGACTGAAACACAACAAAACTCAGTCTTTCCACAGTATTTCCAACAATCACCAACCACTGCTGGTTTGGTCAAAATAAACTCTTAATTCAAAGAGTTAGATGCGGAAATATTCATGAAAGGGGCTGCAATGGCTGCAGCATAAGCTAACATTAATACTTGAGGACAAATGCGCCCGTCACAGTACGTCAACTTGTTTTTGTTTTGTTTTTGTTTTTGTCAGTGACAGGCCCAGATTGTTATTCTAAGTGTCTGACAACATTGTGGAAAGGACCCCTACAGAGATAGACCTTTTGTGTAACCAGAAACATCCATACTATTGCCACAATGGCCACCAGACTCCAGAGACAAAACAGTAATTTCACTTTGTAACTTCATTCAAAGTGGACAGAAACTAAATAAAACTCACCAAAACAGCCTTTGTTGGTCTTTTCAGCAATCACCAGCTCTGGTTTGGTCAAATTAAATCCTTAATTCACCGAGATGGATGACAAAAACTGTTGCGTCAGTCGCTCTACTCAGCTGTGCAAGCAGCAGGCTGGCTATGCAAACAAACCACTAAAAGGCTGCGATATCAAAGGGAGTGCCACATCATTCTCTGCTCAGGACGTCATTGCTCCTCTATATCTTTACACAACAAATAGTTTTTCGCTGCTATATTTATGTTCTAAATCTCATACAGTTTTAAGGTCACTGTACAAAAACAAAAAACCTTGCATGAGTGTGCAGAGAGCATGAGCGGACATTAAGTGATGCAATAATTTGATTAAGGTGCAATAGTCGGGTCTATGTTTATTATTTACATATATATATATATATATATATATATATATATATATATATATATATATATATAAATTAAATAAATTAGTATTTCTGATTATGATATAGTACAGGTTCAAGTACATTTGATCACTTTTAGATCATGGACTAAAGAAAGAGAGGGAATATGGAATACATGGTTCATAATAAATGAAAAACAGTGATGTTTTTTTACCCCATGGGAAATAATGAAAAATGATTAGGAAGAATGCTCAAACTACAATTTTAGCAGTCCAGACACATATTTTATGTCAAAATTTTTAGCTGAGCCTGCTGTTGTTCAGTCTAAAAATCTTACTGGAACAAGTTCTTTATTTTGAGCAGTTTGACTGCTTCTGATTATATTCCTGCATTCAGAACTAAACTGGAGACAAGCTCTGACTCTGCACTTTTAATTAGTGCCACACAGAGCCACATCCCCAGATACACTGGCAGCTCTCTGACTCTTCTAGTAGCCCATTCATTTACCTGACTCTAATGCTAATTAAGTGATTTTCCCATATTTTCAACTTCTATTTTCTTAGCAGCAAACACACATACATACATTTGTATACAGGATGGTATTTTGTGTCTATTGGCATGGAACCAAAACATTGAAACCCAGTTATTCTTTGTGTCTCTCTCCATAGTGCTGAACTAGTCATCTGTCTTTCTGCCACATGATCTTACTGCAGCTTTCAGTAACCTTAAACCTGCAATACATCTTTCCGTGACAACTTGAAGGCAGTGGAATGGAGTTGAGAACGACATAACATCACCTTTTAAGTTGATTTGGCAAACTTGTTAGCCAGCATTTGCTTATTTTCTCATCTAGCACTTACTGAGCAACATTATCATTCTTTAGACCACCTGGTGAAAGTACCGGTCCAAAGGTCCGATAGTCACTCTCCTTTTAGCTCTGTTTTTGGTCTGTACCAACTCCTGAGGGAAATCTGGTTCTTTAGCTGGTAAATGCTCCCTTATGCTCACCAGCTGGTTGCTAACTTTGTCTGTCTACTGTTTGGTGCTGAGCAGATGTTAACAACTAGCCAATACTCTACCAAACATTTAATAACACCCTTGCAAAAACATAGTCTAAGAAAGATTGTTTAAGCTGTAATTAAAAAGGTTAGGCTAATTGGAAATTATATTGTAATACTTTTTTCTTTATTATGGTAGTTATAACTATTCTAAATTGGTCTGAAATTTAGTTTCTGCATATCATTTAAAGGTCCAGTGTGTAGGATTTAGTGGCATCTACTGGACCATTTAACATATTTCTACTAACCCTAACATTACCTTTAGACTAAAAAAGCACAAATGCTGTGTCTCAAAATCCAAATCCTCAACATTGTCTTCACTCCCTTGCATTTAAATGACTACAGGAAGGTTCATTAAAATGGCTATACTGTACTCCACACACACACAGACACACAAATACATACATACATACATACATATGCACAATAACCCTTCTGCGCTTTGTCCCTCTGTATTGTTATTTTGAATGCACCCTGGTGTACATTGTCTAAATAAATTCTATACGACAGGGTTCCAGTATATTTCATGCAAGCAGTGAACAATAAACTTGAATGACATCTCTGATTAGGAGAGAGAGAGGGAGGGAGGTGTGTGTGTGTGTGTGAGATGGGAGTCCGCCAATTTATATTGTTCTCACAGCACGAGTCCAATTTTCTGCTGTATATTATCAGTGATTTAATTGAGCTAATTTTATGCTGCATTATGAGCATAGCAGCGACAGGGAGGCAGAGAGATAAAAGAGGAGCTGGAAAAATGGATGAGGAAGGGGACCAGTACTGTATGGGGAGAGAGAATGAGAGTGACATATAGACAACATTGTAGAAGGGGTCTGAGGACAGGGGAGAAGAAATAAGATAGGAGAGGAAAATGAGAAATATGCAAAAAAAGGATACAGAGCGGCCTCGGGGTAAAGAAAAAAGTTGGTTGGGGCAGACATTAGGGCAACTACCTCACTTCATTCAATATTGATCTGTTATGCTTCAGAAATCCTGCAAGACCACCTTCATCTCTCTCTCTCACACACACACACACACACACACACACACACACACACACACACACACACACACAAATAACACTCACTCTCTTTCCTTTTCTTTCTTACATGCATCCATCACAAGTGGTCCCACAGCTCCTTTGTGAATAGATATGGCAAAACATTGCACAAACAAAAACTGATATTTATAGACAGTAAAGTGACTATTCTCCCTGATATACAGACAGAACTGCACACGCTGCAAAATATGACTACTTGAAATGAACAACATGCACGTTAAGCAAATCATTCTGAAAGAAAGGTAAATATTTCAGTATTGTATTTTACACTGTTGTTAACTGATTTAAACACACAATACAATATGTAACAAAAGTCTCTACAAAAGAGGGGGACAATTAGATCAAATAGTCAGAAGAATATAGAAAAAGTCTATTCAGTCAAGCCAGGAAGTAATGTTGAGAAGCCAGAATAGGATCGGTTTGGCCACAGAATTCTGAACAAGCAACAGACAACAGGAGGTACACCCAAAGCTCATTACAGAATAGATTATCTTAAAATAAGATGGGGTCATTAAAAACTTCATTTCCTCTGTACCCTGAGCTAGATTTTCTGAACAAACTTGTTTATCAAAAACACCTTCAAAAGTGACACTGAGGTATTTGGCAAGTAGTTTGAAATGGGAGGACACATGACCCACACTCTGTCTGCTCATGTTATTGTGCTAAAGTGGCAGTGTTCCAGAGAGGGAGTTCAACAGGACTTAAAATGTATTCCGGTTATCTTCTGTTTTTGATCTCTTCAAGAATGTTTAACAAACCTTAACCACTATTACTATTTACTACTCATTAATCAAATAATGCCTTATTGGCACCAGAATGAATAAGGTAATTTAATTAGGAAATGGAAACCACTAGAGTACAAAACCATTTCATGGATTTAATGTTAGTTTCCCTTAGTCTGACCGGACACTGTTACTTATTCTTACTCCATAAACATAATGTTTCCTTGAAAGGCTACTATCATTATTTCATTAGAATAGGAGACATTCTCTTTGTCTGAATGGGCCAACGGATGACAAATGTTGTCTGGCTGCACAGTGAGATATCAATGATATACACACATAGGCAGGTCTCCACAAGCAGCTGTCAGCTTTCCTAAAACATGGGGCACATTGGGCCAGCTCTGACTTCTTATTGCAGGCTGGCAAGGTATGTGATCTAGAGTCTAGACCACACAAATTGCTTTGCTTCTATTAGAAAAGAGTCACATAAACTGTTCTAATGTGCCATAGACTGGGAGAGGGTCCAAATGTATTGACTTTGTAAGGGCATACGTTGTATGTGCAATAGGTTAGGTTGCATGCATAGTTTGTGTGTGTGTATACTCTAAGTAAGTTTCAGTGGTGTGCCACAATGTTGGTGAACAGTGACAGGCCCACCACACACTATTACTATACTATAACTGGTAAAAGTGCAGTAATCAAATCATGGCCGCTTAGTGTTCACTGTTGGATCTCTCTGATCTCTTACTGTCTCAATGGTTAACGCTAAAGATTCCAAATTGGACAAAAGCCTAGAATTCAGTGTAGCACTTCCCTGTTGTACTGATCAATTGACCCCTGTACTGTAAATACATTTCTTCTGATAAACAGACCTGACTACCTGTTTTTAAAGGTGCATTACTAAAATATCTATAATGGCAGGAACATGTTGAATGCTGGCTTCAGTCTTCAATGTAGGGATGGCCCTTGCATCAACTCATCCTTTCTTCTCACACAAAATATTTTTATAGAACGTTTATAGAATTTAAAAATATATATATTTTATGTTTCCTCCAAGCTTTTTCAACATCATAGCTCCTATTTGGGCTTAAGATGCAAGTAAACACAAATGACTTGAGGTCTTTTGATCTACAGTTTGCCTTAAAAGAAAAATGACTGCAGTGATCAGTTTCCACTGCTGCACTAGACCAAAAATAAAATCACTGCTGCCTAACAGCTTTCACTATCACGGTGTGTATGAGTGTGTTATGTGTGTGTGTGTGTTCCTCCCACGTCTCTCACTTGACCGGGTGATCAAATTAACCTTTCAGTGCTTTCCTCTCTGTTTTGTATAAACACCCAGAGGACAACATTTGATTTATGTGGACAGTGCGAAATACTGAAAGACTAGAGCTAGGTGATTGTATTCTTTTGCCTTCCCCATACTCTCAGCAGGCAGGTTGGCCCATTTGTTCTGACGAAGGTGAGGGAGGACAGAGCTCTAAAATGTCCTCAACAATCTTAATAGCACCCCAGACACATTTAAAAGACAAACTAAGGAGCAACTTATCACCTGTAACTGGGCCAAATGGAACCAGCGGTCAGCTTTCTTTCTCTACTGAATAATGATGGACACTGAGAGGGAGAGGCATTTGTGATCCTCTGAAGACAGCATACACCAGCTCTGAATTAAGTTTACATTTATATGTTTATATGCAACTGAGTGAAAAAAGGTGCATAGTGTCCAAATTATAGATGCTCTTTAAGTGATTTGATGACTTAAAACCTACACGTACCACTGGCTCTTGAACTATATTTGTTTGCTACTGCTTTCAAATATTAGTCATCTCATTTTGGAACAAACTCTTTTAATTTTTCTTGTGTGATGTGTTTAATGCTTCTAGTTGAAAGCCTTACTTGTGGGGACCCATCAGATCCCTGGTCCTTGGTTTTTCTAGCAAGCCTTTTTTTCTTCTTGTGAAGCGGTTTGGACTCCAGGATCATTTCCTCCAGCTCAAATGTGGGGTCACAGTTTAGTCTCCGCCTCTGTGGAGACGCAGACACATGCAAGGGCACATTTAAAAGGACTAACAACGGATCCATGTCTTCAAATATTGAATCCTATTAATATTTAAAAACATTTAAATGCCAAGTCAACACTTATAAATATTTATCTTGTGAGATTGTCATGGTTTTATTTTTGGCAACCCTTTTAGAAACAAGTAGTGTTATAGTGTTTCTGACATCTGATTCCCATAACTGAATAGGCTGTGATTAAATTTGATGTGTCATACGATACAGTATAATATTATACGATTTGATACAATACAGAATGATGACGCTTTTATTCTACAAGCAGACTGAATATTGGGAACTTAGGAAAGGAAGCATGAGGGCTGAGTCCATAAGCGAGTAAAGACAGAGGATAGGCCTATAATTAGATAGAGAGACACTGTCAATTCCCCATCGATCCTCTGTGTTTTTCCTCTGCTGTGCCAGCCTGACCACTGGGGATACTCACGGCTCTGCAGTCGCTATAGTCTTAGAATTAGATAAAGTCATTTAGTCATCTGTTCACTTTCAACAGTCATTATTCTGCATTTATTCAATTCTGACACTAAGCACTGACAGTTATTGTCACCTTGCTGCTTCACTCAAATAATACAGGATAGTTTTTATATTGCTTGATCATTGATTTAAGCAAAAATGCCAAAACCCATAGTTGTAGTCTCTAAATTGTAAGAATGTGCTGTTTTTCTTTGTCTGATATGATAGTAAACAGAGTGTCTTTGGGTTTTGGACTGTAAAACATTTGAGGTTTTATAATGGAAATGAATTGATTGCTCAAGAAAATAATTAGCAGATTAATCAGTTATAGGTATATGTAAATATATATATAGTTTATTGCCTTTATGATAGAGATAGCTGAAGATAGACAGGAGAGCGGGGCAGAGAGAGGGGATGACACGCAGCAAAGGGCCGCTGCAGCAAGGACTCAGCCTCGGTACATGGGTCGCCAGCTCTACCCACTGAGCTAACCAGTCGCCCCTCATTTTGCTAATTTAATGGTCTACCTCACTGGCACATTTCACACACTGAGCCAAATAACTAGTGAGAGGAAGAATAGTTGTAGAGCCAGAATATTTTCACTGTGGTGAATTACAACAACAGTGTATCGCTGTTAGACAGTTAGGACACCAGAGTTGGTGATTGTTTGAACTGTGTAAAGACTAATTGACTAATACTAATCAACTACTTATAAAGACAGTTTGGTGAATTTAATATTTTGTTTCTGTCGAATTCTAATGAAGTTTGTTTTAAGATCGCCTAGTTTAGATCTTGAATTCAGAGGATGTACAGTTGTATTTTCTGTTTAATGCAGAAAATAGGCGTTTTTCCTTTCCTTTCTTGACACTTGGTGAGTTCACTTTCTTTATTAAAGCTATGAGAGCTTCTTGAACTCAGTACTGGGGTGGGGATGAGGGGTGTTGGTGGGCGCTCGCGCAGCACACGCATGTGCAAATATATCGGCAATCGCCAATTGTTGGACTGTCGGTGGCCATTGGAAACGTTTTAACATATGGCCCTAGCCCAGCTAGCACTATCTTCACCCAACTCATCATAATGAGCTAGAGACAACCTGTAGAGCTGCAGGTATATGCAGAGGCTTTCTCTGCCTTTGTCTGTATGTAAGAGGCATCCACACATGTCTCCTGCTTTGTCTTTTTGTCTACACTCAGTGGGAGATCCAGCTCAGCCCAGCAGGGGGTGGTCTCTACAGCTCGACTAGAAAAAAATAGATGAAGAGTGGGTAGGTCTGGCTACATCGTTTTTTTCCTTGCATCTTTTGTCGCCTTCGGGGAAATACTGGTTTGGGAATAGGCATGAGAGAACAGTAGACAGGAGGAGGGGTTTCAGGAATAGATGGGTTTTTTTTATTCTGAAATGTAAAAAAATAGCCAAGATGTAAAATATGTACTAAGGCATCTACAGATGGCATATTCACCACATGGTATTTGTTTATTTTTGCCACTGGCTTTCATTCTCTTCTTAAAGCATTGGACAGTTCTATATTTTTTGTCATTTTTCAGGGAGGGTGATTGGAGAAAGTGTGGTGGATCTGATTATATAGCAGACCAAAGTCAGATAAACATTATTTTCTTTTCTATTCAAATGTGAGCATTTTGTAGGGTAGCATACTGAGGCAGTGCTCAGTTTATTTCTGATACTCACGTTGGGAATAAAGCCTGGAGGAAGCTGTTTGCTGAGCACAGCGTCCCAGTTGACATCTGACATGTAGTCCAGATCCTGCAGCTCTGCTAGACAGGAAATGCGCTTCTGGACATCTATGCACAGCAACTGAATGAGACAAAAGGATTAGAGTAAGAATTATTGTCCACAGGGAGGCATGGCTGAAAAGTTACAGGCTGGGTCCCATGGAGACATGAGCACATGTTTGCCCTAAAGGATGTGTCTGAGAATGAGGATATGGGGACATAAGGGGTGAGGGTGAAAAGTATTAAGGAGAGGACAGGAGAGTATGGAGGGAGAGGGAGATAATGAGTGACAGGAAAACGAAAATGAGATACATTTAGGAAGCAAATGGCGATGAGGAGAATTCAAGATATTGTGAAATGTGTAGGATGAAGGACAAATATATTGAGCGTAGAATTCTCCCCTTACATTCTCACTTTCTTTATACCTCCCTCTCTCTCTCTCTCTCTCTCTCTCTCTCTCTCTCTCTCTCTCTCTCTCTCTCTCACACACACACACACACACACTCTCTCTCTCTTGCACTCCCACATACACACACATTTATGCAGCTGGAATGCCAATGAGGTACGAGGAGTCTGAGCACGAAGTAATGCAACAGTTTGACTGCAGTGGATCGCTGCCAAGACAAAACCCAAATGCTACAGCAACAGTGTATCTGTTAGCTTTGCAAGTGGCCTAATTGCGACAAGAAGAATAGATGTTTGACAGTTAATTATGGATCCACTCTTAAGATTTAAGAATATGCTAATTACATTAAATGAAAAAAAAGAAACCTCTAAATGATTATAATTAAGCAGTGATATAAATAGTCTTTCAGAGCCAAGGTGTGTGCTTCTCTGTGTGTCTGCGCTGTCTCTTTGTGAGGTTGTGTTGACTTTGTACCTTGATTTATTTACCTATGTACTGTGTAATTTTAACACTGAGTCACAAATTCCTCTTTTGGAATACTAATTGTACTTAAAGCTGCACTGCTGGCTGAAACATTTCCATGTACAAATAAACAGCTAGTATACAAAGTAGGGCTGCAACAATGCAATAAAGCCCCTAATTAAGATTCTAGATGCACCTTGTTCGCCCAAATGAAGTGCTGGTGTCAGGTATGGATAATTGTCTTCCCACAGGAAATAAAAAATTCAACCCTAAGAGAAAAATCCAAAGTATCTCCTACAAAGTAGCAGAGGATCCACCCTCTCTTGTCAGTTAATTGTTTATGATGAGATCACAATAGTCAAATAAGCCAACATGTGCATTACAGTTTACTCAAGTAATTTTTCATTGGTGATCAATTTGGCCACCAGAAATCACAGATGTGAGAAGCTGACAAGTGCAGGCTTAAATAAATGACCACAGTACGTTCTGGAGGTGTGGTGGACCTAATTCAAAGAAATATCTGTTGTACAATGTGACACTCTCACCCACCCACATTTGAGAGAGGCTTGGCATACACTTAAAAATTCACAGGGGATAGTTACTTCAGATCCTGAGCAATGCGAAATGCCACTATAGGATGGAATGCACGTATTGTGCACTGAAGATGAATATACTGTAAGAAACAGTCTGCATCTGCCGTTGTGAGTTTACATGGGCGGAAAACATGAATTAATTTGTAACACTTTTTTAAGGATAAAGAGAAGCAACATGAGGCAATATTTTCCGGTATTAATCAAGCACACGGTTTTCTGAATGTGACATCCTTAAAAAAATGACAGATCCGTCCAAGGACAGTGTTAAAGTTACATCCTCAGGCGTTGATTGGTGTAGTGTTACTTCCTACGCATCAAGCTGTACACATATACAACACATATATGGCAAAGAGCACTCAGTGTCTGGTTGTATGCCTCTTCTAATGGCTTTTCCTTTTTTAAGATATCCCTCATAATATTCCCCCATTACCTGTTGGTTTGTATTGTAATTGAGTGTAAGTGAGGGGGTTAGTATCATGTGAAAAGGTGAGATAAATCCTACAATATACTGTGCATTATGCATGTGCAACTCATTTACCTTTCTGAGAAGAGACTTCATCTCCAAAGACCAGGCGACTGGGTAGCTGGGGTGGACCTTGTGGAAGGTCTGAAGGATCTCATTAGCTGGTGTACTGGATCTCATCACATATGGTCTCTAGAAAAGAGGAGAGGAGCAGAGAAGAGACAATATGTTACAGACAACTTGTATTCATAGTCATGCCCTGCCTGGAGGAGTTTCTTTGATAAAGTATGTGTCTTTAAGTTTGCTCTGCAGTTGGCCCTCTCCACTCTCTCTTCCTCCTCTCCTTGTGCTCACCTTCTGTGAACCCATTTCCTGCCCTGATGAGGACAAATGATAGAGGAAACGGAGACTAAGGGACTATTCTCAAAACACAGCTTAAACTCTCTGCCATGCAGTGTGAGAGGGCTTTCTATGGGTCAGAAAACAAGGGAAAGCCTGTTGAGATTTCTTCAAATCAGTGCTCCTCCACCCTCTGGTCTTAGTCTGGTACAAAGAGACTCCATGCACTTGAGTTAGAGAATTACACAGTGACAAGACACAGTTAGATCAGGCTGGTTGGAGGTGGAAAATCTGCATCTTTGCCTTTTCCTCTCAGATTGTTTACAGAAGAGCAAATCCATATTCTCTTTATGACAAGCTTTTAATGCAATTTCTGCTTTATTGGATGGGTCAGAGTGAAGAGAAAGAGGAAAGATGAAAGAGAAAAGTAAACAACGTGCAATCCAGGTGGATGCCTTGCCATTCTTCATTTTTATTACAGGCTCTTTTAGATGCATGATGTCAATTATATTCCAATTCTGCAGATGTTCCCCAGACAGGGCACACATAAAGGTGTCAGCTAACCAGTAATATATTTTGGAGTCAGATGTTCAGAAGGCAGAAATTGGCTCATGTATCACAATATATTTTCTTTTTTTTTTGGAAATTTACCATGAGGTCTTTGTGTTCCCTGTCTGGGGTTGTCCAATTTAGAAAGAAAACAGAGGCTGGAGGCATAGAAACTAAGTGACAGTGATGGATTTGCGGTTCTGGAGAGATGCTTAGCTGCCTGGATCTGTACCTGCAACCAGTGGTCAGGCCCAGCAGTGAAAGCATTGGTTGGCGAGAGAGGAGTTAGATGGTCTGAGCGAAGCATGAATGAAATAAGACGGTGTTGGAGCTTAAGAGAGAGATAAGATGAGGTAAAGGCTGAGAAGTGATCAAAATGTGCCTGGAGCTGGATAATAGTGAGCTTGCGCTCCATTTTCAACAGCCAAATAATTCTGCACATCCAACAGGCCAGTTTTCAACGCCCTGAGACTGATTTATGCTTTATAGACGGTGTTGAAATGTGGCAGTCAGAGACAGGTGTAGAAGAAAGTCCCTAGGAGACAGAGGGATGAAGTGAAAATGAATTGCCTGGGAGAAGGTGAGGGTGGGTGGTGTGCAGAGAGAGGGGTGAAAGAAAGTTTAAGAGAGGGTTTATGACGCATATTATACAGAAACTACAAAAAGTGGAGTATGGGGAAAGAGAGAGAGTGGGGCTAACATCTATGTCACTCTGAGTAATTCCTGGGTTTGAAAGTGTGTAAGTGTGTGCTCAGCAATCCTCTCCTGAATGAGTGAAGGTCAAAAGTGCTTGAAAATCACAGGACACAGCTTTGAGGTAAGAGAGACAACTTAAGCTATTTTTGTGCAGATAAGATGTAGCTTTGGTCAGGTCAGAAAGAGGACAAAACATATTTTAGAAGGGTTAAATGAAGGTTTGGAAGTAAAATAAAGCTGGATGGAGGACTACGCTTTCCAGGACTACTCGAAAGTATAATGGAAAGAGTCAGGCAAAATAACTGTGAACAGTTTTATGGAGAAGGGTGAGAGGGAGAGCATTCAAATGTCTAAAAATAAGATTTCATTTCAGGATCACTTCATGACAGCTCCAGATCAGTTTCAGGTGTTCTGGCTCCTTGTCAGTGTAGACAGAGGTTACTGTAGTGCTTGTAATCACCATCCTGAAATATGAGAGGAAATTCTGCAGCTGCAGTCTGGATTAAGTCCACAATGCGCAGACTACTGTCGGCTCCGACACTCGGCCTGATACAGCGAGGAGACAGAGTGAAAACATTATGTCCTGTGTTTATTTCCATGACATCAGAATTAAACTTCTCCAGATGGGACCAGCACAAAATTGAATAAATTATATCTTAAAAATCAATTCCAATTATATGGCTCTGAAAATAACTCAATTCTGTTTTCTCATTCTGCTGCAGCAATTCGTCTCACACCGTGACTAAACATATAAACATCTTCCCCCAGTAAGGTCAGCTTAAATGTAAAATTCAATTATGGCTTCACCCCCCTTTTGTTTTGTGAAGGCTGAGGAATCGCTTTATGTCTGCCCTTCCTACTGACAGGACTTTTCTAGCACACTCCTGTAGATGTCATATGTATTATTTACTGCAGTAAAGTGTGCCAGGCCGACGCTCAGTTGAGATGTGGACATGGTGATGGTGCTCTGTGTGTGTGTGTGTGTGTGTGTGTGTGTGTGTGTGTGTGTGTGCTCAGTTACCTGTCCTCTTAGTAGCTCATAGGCTGTGATGCCCAGTGACCACCAGTCGACAGAGAAGGAGTAGCCAGGGTGGGACCCCTCGAAGGTTTGAAAAAGCTCCGGAGCTGATAAACAGAGAAATATTGTACATCAAAAGGTAATAAAGTATGGCGTATGTGTCTTTCTTTTGTTAGAAATGCACTTTTTTGTTGTGTGTTTGTGTATTTTGATCCCCGTTTCTTGTTTTGGGGGTCATTTTGTTCAGGGTCAATTTTTTTCAACTACAGCCCCTTTCACACACGGAATACATAGCTTGCTTCATTTATCTGTTAGCCAAAGACATGGCTAATCAAGACATAGGCCCTTTGTTATGTAAATGTTCTATAATGGCTCTATTCAGACTCACAGTAGCCCTTGAAAGGGCGCTGAATTGTGATAGATTCTAAAACTTATTTTGCTGTTGAAGCCTTAATTAATGACCATCATCAATGCAAGGGACACTTGCTCCCTCTTGCCCTCGTGAATTTTCTCATCAATTTTTATCACTTATTAGAATTCTGCTGCTTATCTTCCATGAAATTAGCATGGGTGAAAACTGAAATAATAGCTGGGGGGGGTTGTTGGAAGTGTTACGAAAATATTCCCCAAGCAGAGCGCCGTTGTGACTTTTGTGTAAAAGGTGACCTGGATACTTTTTCAGACATTAGGCCAACAGCAAATATATCATCACATTTACGCAGCGTCATACACTACATACATACATACATACATACATACATACATACATGTACAATACATGTATGATTTTTTGTAACTTCTGGACTGTGAGAAACTGACAGCAGCCTTTACAGGTTGATGTTGAGCTCAGTTTTCACATTTTAATGTGACTTTTTGTTGTTGTTCTGGGATGAAAAACATAAATTGCATTATTCTTGCCAGAGGCATATATTCATTTTTGGTATCTTATTTTGAGCCAATATAGCATCACAATGTCTTTGTAAACAGGTTTTCTGTGTGGGATGAGCTATGAAAACAAATTGTTTTTTAAATAATCTAATCTCCATCACCCGTCACTTACCCTTCCCTCTCTGATTTGTTATCTAACGGTGTCAAAATCAGGACTGTGAGAAACATACTGTATAGTCAGGAACATACACACACACATGCACACCATACTCCTGTTCATCACGGCAGGTTCGTTCTGCTCTCTCGCTGAGGAGGGGTTAAGTTAATTTATCTACTGAAGCCTCCGAAAGAGGGTGTTTTCTTGTTCCCAGAGTATACATGAATTATCTATTACCCCACAGAGAATTCGCCTGAAATCTGTCACACAATATTACAAGATCATTGTCCATCAGGAGCACATACTTTATAAGGATAAAGACAAACAGGCACACGCACCCACACACAAACATGCTGTCTTGTCATTCATATCCCCCTGGAAATCCTGCTAGCTACTATCTGATCTCCCATGAGCTGAATACACATCGACCTGATCGCGAGTGGACTTAAGAGTAATGAGGAGGATGACTGCAGTGATGCTGAAAAGAATAAATGTTTGTTTCCGAAGGCAGCATTACTTTACAATGTTAACAGTACTCTCAGGATACATCAAAATCTAACTAGATAAGCCTCAAGAATATACTATATATATATATATATATATATATATATATATATATACACATATATATTGTATTTGAACACAAGAAAGACACACAAATTGATCAAACAAATTGCTCAGTAACGGCATATAATATAATAATATTCTATGCTCAGATTTGGAGGATGCGTCCTCCAGTGAATGCTGGGCTCACCAATGTTAACATCCCCTCAGTGTCCTTGGGATTTTGGATTAGCAAACATAAGCATGCTCTGTGGAGTTTATATAAGTTATGTTGCATGATTTCTGTAAAACCGTCTCCCCTGGCTTCTGTTTGATGTCACCGTTGTTAAAACTTTCCTTGTGTATTTTCTTACCCATGTATGGCTTGGTCCCAGCGATGGAGGTTGCTTTTAGGTCTTCTTTTACAATTGCTGCGATGTTGAAGTCTGTAAGATGGACGTGTCCTGTAGAACGGAGAGATTCTATTACCTCACAGTGACAAAAGCATGTTTTAATAAACATTTACAGTATATCACGTGTGTATATCACGCCCTATAAATTCTAAGGTGGCACAGAGCTGTAGGATCACAGAGCTCTGTTTACACCATCAGTATTTACAGTAACTGTGTTTTTACTTAGAAGTTTAAGATTTTTCCTTTGGAATTAAATTTAATCACAGCTTACACATGCAGGTATCCTACTTTGTATGCTGCTTATGTAATATGCAAAAATGAGGATCAAAAGAATTTTAAAATACAACATAATCAATTGAAATAACGCCTTTTCCTTTACGCATTCTCGTGATCGTAATGCTCTTACGCTGATGTTATTAAAAAGGCATCAAATGCAAATTAACTGAGGCTTTATTGATGGAATAAAACGAGTGTGATGATATTGTGACTGGGCTGAAAGAGAGTCCATGGTGTTTTAGTGGCAACCTCAGTGATTTCCAAAGTCAAACCACTGACCTGTGTCTCACCATGCTGCAAGATGGCCCATAGTCTTTGCCATGCACACTGAGCACACACTAATGAGCTGAATGTATGTGTGTGTGTGTGTGTGTGTGTGTGTGTGTGTGTGTGCGCGTGCCATACTAAGTGAGAGAGAAACACAGAGCAAGAGTTTTTGCCGCAGAGTGATTGTTCGGATGAATGGATGTCCCTGGTAACCCCAGCAAACACATACAGAAAGACAACACATAAGCTGCACAGCCATACTATACACCATTTTAATTTTTTTTTAAAAGCAGAATATTTTATCACCAACAGATAACTGTGTTTGAATATAAAGCAGGCAGGAGCTGGCCAGTTTGAATGTTTACAAAAAGATACAGAGCTTTAAAGATAAGAGAACATTTTCTCCCTCTCTTTTTGCCACGCTGCATTTTACACATTTTCTTTTATTCCACCCCTCGTCTCTTCTGCCCTTTGCCTCCCATATCTTTCTCTCATCCTCTTCTTATTTTTCAGGTTTTATTTTTATTTTTGTCTCCATAAACTCCATCTCTTTTTTGGTTCTTTACCCCTCTGTGCAATTTACAGTTTGAAATATGCCCACATACTGTATTCATAGCTGTGGTACATGAGAGTATAGTGATTCACAGAGGGGAGATTGGGTGGTGGTGGTGGTGGTGGTGGTGGTGAATGGACCATTGTTAATGTAGTCTGATGACAAAGGTGCATCAGGACTGAAACGTCACTGTAGACTTTAAGTGGAGCTTGAGTAAGAGCAGAGATTCTTTCTTGTTTTCATATTTAATGATGTCTCTGTCTCTGTCATATTCTTATCTCCCCTTTTTGTCTATTCGGTCTTCATCTCTCTTAGCTTTGCAGAAGACAGATTTAGGACAAGAGTTTTACACAGTAGCCAGCAGGAAGAAACAGACAGCCATCATCAAAATGTTTGGCCAAAAGTATCTAGTATCAAATTTTAACCAAAGTGTCATATTGAGATCAGTTCGAAACAGCTCAGTGATGATCCTTGCTCGGTCAGTTCAAATGTATTTTTTCAATATTGACTAATGGAGTTGACAAGTGTAATGTGGAGCCTGGTTCCTTCAGTGATACGACAGTGATGTTTGGGACACAAACGTGGCATAGTCAGAGAGAGATGGCATTAGTAAGAGAGACATTAAGAGATTAACTATGATACAGTTTTAAAATCTGTATTATGGAAAATGTACAGTACAGCCTTTTGATAACATAACTTTGTCACCACAGTGGTGTCCATGGATTACTTGGTTCACTGAATGGATGTTCTAAAGCAGTGGTTCCTCACTAGTGGGGTTTGTTGTGAGTAAATAAAAAGCGGATGCCTCTGACAGAGTGCTTTTTTTTTTGTAGAGTACGACGGAGTATTAGGGCCATACTAAGGGAAAAACATATTTTTTTGGTGGAAATTACGAGAATAAAGTCATAATATTACAAGAATAAAGTCATAATATTATGAGAATAAAGTCATAATATTACAAGAATAAAGACGTAATATTACGAGAATAAAGTCATAATATTAGGTCTACGAGAATAAAGTCATAACATTACGAGAATAAAGTCATAATATTAGGTCTACGATAATAAAGTCGTAACATTACGAGATTAAAGTCGTAATGTTACGAGAATAAGTTGTAATGTTATGAGATTAAAGTCGTAATGTTACGAGAATAAAGTCGTAATGTAATGAGAATAAAGTCGTAATGTTACGAGATTAAAGTCGTAATGTTACGAGATTAAAGTCGTAACATTACGATAATAAAGTCATAATATTGCCAGAATAAAGTCATAACTGTTTAATGACGAAATTAATCTTACCTGTTGACTGTACGGTACAACTGAGACAAACAGCGGCTGCTGGCCTCAGGCTGAGGCTGCTGTTTGGTTGAGCTGGTCTCGTCAGATCTTGATAACTCTATCGAAGCTTTTTTGTCATTAAAACAACTTTTTTCTTGTATTATTATTACATTATTCGCATAATATTACGACTTTATTCTCGTAATATTATGAGTTTATTTTCGTAATTTCCCAAAAAATAATTTTTTTTTTTTTTCTTAGTCTGGCCCTAATACTCCATCGTAGTAGAGTGAGGAGCAGGAGTCTGCTTGTTGCAGAGACAGAAAGGAATATATAGGCCTTTGATTTAAGATTACCTACATAACAATCCGGCCTGGCTTGAAAATTATTTTTCTTCTCTTTTTACATTTTCAAGAAAGTCATTCTTTTTATGCTCTGTCCTTGTTATTGTTTAGCCTATTATTGACATGTTATGCTGGCAAAACTGTTTTAGAGGCCTTAATACATCTATCTATTAGATATTAATACATCATATATTGCATCTCTTAATTAACTAACTGCTGTTGCAATGCTTAAAATGTTAATGTTTTTTTAAGCCCTAATTACAGTTCCTGTTGCATGTTTTTCATTTGGATTTTAAGCTACTAATGCAGTTTTTGTGAGATGGCCACTTCACTCCAGTCACCAATCTGATCAAGCGTGTGTACTAAATGAAGCGATACACATCAAATTTCTTGAGCTCTGATCTTTTAAAATAATACATAAAGTTCAGAGTGGTATTATTCCTCTAAAAGCTATGGTCAGTATGTGAGATTAACCCCTGTTTGTCTCCAGTCAAACTGTTCCCTGCCTGCGGGCGTTGCAATGTGTGGTGGCTGAACAATGGTTCAGCAGGTTTCCTGGTGGCTTAGTTATCTAACGTGTTTTACTGGGATTACCTCCACAACTGTCGAGGTTTGATCCTGGGGTTATGTCACGCGGCTGCATATCTATTTTTAATTTCTCTTTGCTTTCTGCTACCTCAAAACACCCCCAGCACTGATGACAACCACCAGGGGCGGAGCCATTCAGGGCTTCGCCCAAACCTAGCGGTGTCTGGGGGCATGCTCCCCCAGGACGATTTTTTTCCCCCATTTACAGCAGCTATTCGGGGCTGGAGCTCATGAATTTGAATATAAGTTTTATGTAACATACTCATATTTCGTTTAACAAAGCAGGTGTGATGAAGCCAAAGCAGACGTTTAGCCCTCTTGAAACTCTTACGTTATATCCCTACGCATAGCCTTTTACCAAGTCAGACTCTATACCATGGTATTAGTATACTGTTGCAGCCCTAGACTCCAGGGTTTTCTCACTTATTCGTTGGCAATGGACAATATTTACCTTTCAGTGACATAAGTACTTAATAGGAATTTAGTAGTCGATCCCAATACCAGTGAAATTCTCTATACCAATTTGATACCACGGTAAAAAACAAAAGTAAAATAATAAATTCCAAGTACTTCAACATACACTACACAAAACATTTGAACATTACAAAAAACAAAAGCTGTGGCCCATTTTCTAATAGATGTTTTCTTATTTACTTATTTCACTACATAATGTCGCCCAAAATACACAACTCATGTTTCATATTTTTTCACCCACTCTCCTGTTTTAATAACAGCAGGTGCTGTGGACGGGGCTCGTTGTTAATGATGTAGCCTATTAAAACGATTGATAACAACGTGGTAACAAATGACATAGGCACCAGCTGATGTGACGTCACCTTTTCAAAATGTCGGCATCAACTTGGCACCGAAGTATCAGTTCTCGTGACATCCCTAGTGTTTGTACACTATTGTGGAATTTGATTTAGATATCTTAATAAACCAGCTCCTAAATCTTCATGACAATTATCACTTTAATTCCCAGTTTTGCCAGATGAAGCCATCAATTAGGTTGATGAATGCATTACTTACTTCTATGGACATATACTGGTCTTATATCTGTTGAATTCATATAATTTCTACACCTAAGCAGTTAAAGTAGCCAAGATCACACCGTTTTTCTCATTAAGCTAAAAGGGATTGTTGCAAACGTGTGCACAAAATATGCACTATAATCTAATCAGATCTGTTTCTGTCGTATAACTTTTCTGAATGTATGACGCTATCAAGATTGCTTGTTGATCCTGAAAACCCTATCTGGTATTTCACATGAGAAAAGATCATATACTGTACATTTCTAAAGAGTCCCATGGGTGTTTATGTGGTTTTCCTCACAATATCGCCTTAATGTAGTCCCTGCCTTTGCAGCATGTGTGCGTTCTCACACTGGACAACCTAGACAACGGCCCTCTTGGAGCTTCTCTCAGCATCCTGAGGCTATGCCATTTAACAAAGTGACACAGCACGTGCATGAGTAAATTGTTTTTCCCCATTTGAAAGCTCCCAAAGGAACACGGCAGAAACGGGTCAATTCCAGCTCGCAAAATTGACATGGTGTGCAGAAGCAAAACACCCTACTCCCCCGTTGTCTGATACGTCATGTTGTTTTAGACTTTAGTGGAGAGGTAAACTACAGATCTGCACAGACAAACAGAGTGGGGGTAGAGTGCATGAGGAGGAGGGAAGTGCTTATTGAGCTCGAAAGGACACGCACACATACAGAGAGAGAAAGCACAGGTGAAAGTCTGTTGTCCTGTTGGAAAGCAGGCTGAGGCTGACAATGCTGCCATTCTCTTTCTCCTCCCTTTTTTATCTCTCTTCTGCACATATCTCTTTGTCTACCCTGTTTTTCTTCCTTTGACAAATCTTTCTTTCCAGAAATGTTTGCTCATCACTTCCCCCCTTCTTGTCTTGTCCTTGTGGCTCTCTCTCTCTCTGTCTTTGTCTGCTCTAAGCCTGTAGCAACAGCAGGGCTGCCGTCCCACATATCTGGTCAGATCCCTTTAGCAGCTGTCCAGTGCCCTCTGAGATCTAAGGACTTGTGTCTGTGTGTGTGTGTGTGTGTGTGTGTGTGTGTGTGTGTGTGTGTGTGTGTGTCTGCGTATGTGTACACTATATGGACAAAAATATATGGACAGACTTGGTCTCAGGCTGTTTTCATGGTTAGGGCTTGACTGCATAGTTCCAGTTCAGGGAAATCTTAATGCTACAGTATAGTTGGTTCATTAATAGTATTAAATCACACGGTATTGCATATACATTTCAATTTCATCTGCCCATATATACACAACATGATTATGTTCCAACATTTTCAGCAAAGTGTGAGAGTCTTTTCTGTGCCTGATAAATATAGTATTCCAATGATTTTTGTTGTGCTCAAATTTTACTGAAATCTCCTGATGTTGATGACAAATAGTATCTTCATTCTATAAACCAGTGCCACGAGAGCACAGCTGTTGCTCAGGTAATGTGCGACATCATCCTTGTTCAGTGCTAGTTCACAATAATACTGTACTGTCATTACTTGAACCATTTTGTTATTCATGACATTCTTAGGTTTAGTAAATTTGAGTACATAACCCAACAGATTATCATGCATATCAAGCAGATGCTTCATCAGACATAAGAACATGACCCATTTTGTGTTTAGTGTGTGTAGTAATGGGAATAGTTCAGCATTTGCGAAAATACGGTTATTAAATTTCTCGCAGAGAGTTAGATGAAATGGTTAACACCACTCGGATGTCTATACAGCAGCTTGTTAGCTTAGCTTATCACAAAGAATGAAAACTGGGAAATGAATAGTCTGGCTCTGTCCAAAGGTAACAAAATCCTCCTACTGGCACCTCTCAATCTCACAAATGAACAAAACGGAAGTGTAAGAAGGACACATTGTTGTTTTATGAGGGGCCACGTGCTTGACTATTTCTTGGCCGGACGCAGTAAGTTCCTGGACTCTTGTCGTCACTGTGAGGTTGCCAGGCAACTCCTATAGAGTTTCAACATACTATTTCTTGTTTAACATGACCGTATAGTCGTGTGTATAAAGCCACGTCCAAAAAGAAATTGTTTTCCCAGTTTAATGTGGAAGAATTTGACTAGCCTGCAGATAGTCCTGACCTCAACCTCATCCAACACGTGAGAGATGAACCGGAACGCCGAATGTGAGCCAAGCCTTATCACCTGGCCGACTTCACTAATGCTCTTGCGCTTGAATGGGAGCAAATCCCTTCAGCATATTAATGCCAATGGTTTTGTCGTGAAGGTGTAAGGTTTGTAATGTTATAATACTTTGGCCTTGTAGTGTACATGTGCACACTGTACTATCATATCTATCTTAGGCAGCCTGTATTTTTCCAGGATGGATCATACTATAAAGGAGTTTAATTTACCTCTTTATTAACATATTGATGAAGATATTTACAGTCTCTCTCAACATGACCTTGATTTCCAATCGTTCCCTCCTTCTGACATTGACGCACACACGCTGCTCTCTCTGTCTCTTTCCTCACTGTATATGCGTGCATGTGTGTACGTGTATTTGCGTTAAACTGAAACTGACACTAAAGCCTATGATGAGACCTAATCAATCATTCAGCACAATATTTTTTCCTCAGAGAGTTGGCAGGCATTGTGAATATCACCCTGTCCCTCACACTCCTTTCACATCCCTCCAGGAAAGAAGTGCACCCCTTCTCTATGTTGCATTTGGTAAAATAAGGCATGAGGTTCTTTTGATCTGTACAGAAGTGATCCCAGAGGTTGGAGGTTTGTTAAAATGCTTAGTCAGAAGCAGTTAAGTCTTGAATTTGGGACGCTAAGTCATGTCAGGTCACCATGCGAGTCAAGTCAAATGTTATTACCATATGTAAGCAGTTACGAAACCTGATCTTATTGCACAGTTTGACTTTGAATTCCAACCATTCACATCCATATGAATGAATGAAATATGACTAAAGGAATCTTACCATGTTCATCCAGTAGTATGTTGTCCGGTTTGATGTCTCTGGAGTAGAAAACACAAACAGTACAGTGGGATTAGTTTGTGTTTATGTATGTAAAATCAGGATCAAATTGTATGTATTGTGTCATTTTCGTGCTAACATTTTAAATTCAAATTCACACTATTGTTTGGAGAACGAGCAGTGGGATTTGCAAGATCTGGCTTTACGGAGAATAGTCAGAATCTTAAGACAACAATGGTTAAATAAAATATGTGAACCCTGAATCAGAAAAGGGCAGTTCAGTATAATTTGTTATTACCTTAAACACCATTCATGATATGTATCAAGAAGATTACCTTTTTTTCCCCCAATGCCAGGATGCATTATTTATGTAGCATTATTTATTTATTTAACTATTCTTAACAACATTGTATTAAAATGAAGAGATGAGAAAGTATCATGTATTGACAACTGTTTATTTATTGGTAGGCAAAAAAATTAAATTTTTTTACTTAAAATTATGCCTCAAAAATGTATGCAGATTATACAAGGATATAACTTTCAATTGTTGTGACCCCATTCGTCCAGTCAGAGGAATAATGTAACACACCACCAAAATGTATCAAAATCAGACTAGTTGTATCAGACTGAGATAACACCTCTGGTCTGTTAACATTAGTCACTCCAGTCTCATTTCATCATCACACATTTAGTCCCATGAGATACATCGTTAAAAATGTGCTTTAAAGTAGTACAAGATGCTCGATAGTTCTACTAAATTGAATATCTTTAAATAACATGTATGGTTTTCATGTTTCTAGACCGCACTTCCCACAGTTTACCTGTAAATAAAACGGTGTGGGTGGTACTGCTGATGACGTTTGAGTTTCTGTAGGTGGCACTCTCTTCTTTGTCTGCCCTGCCAGGGAGGTTACATTGCTCATATTAATTACCCAGTTCTTCCTCTGCGTATTCTAAACAAACCACTTTTTCTACTACTGAATTTGGAACGAGCCACTCCCTGTGTGTCAGAGTAATACCCAAAACTGTGTGCATAGATCATCAGATGTAAAAGCTTCCACAAGGTGAATTTTACAATAGGCTGAGTTACTCTTGTTGTGCTGAATCATTTTGCTTCAGTGAATGACAAAAATGGACATGTAGTACACCAGATCAAAACTTTCAAATGACACTCTATGGCACCAGGCATGTGACAAAAACAAATGAATATCTAATATTTTTGAGGGGGAGGAAGGGACAGCAGGTTAAGCTGTGGGAGTAGCTGAGACACCTGAGAAGGGGAACAGGTGTGGACTAAGGCTCTTGCTAAAGGCTTCTGCTTGTTTCTCACCATCCTTTGTGGTTTAGATTTTTATTCTCCCCATTTTCAAGCAGATGTTTGTTTTTTGTTGAGGCACATAAATTAAAATGGCATCCAGAAGCACAGTTTCTCCAAATTGTTCTGGAAGCTCAGTCTGTTCTTAGAAGCAGGAAAGTACTTAAGAGGTTCAAACTACTGTCCAGAGATTGTACACAGACAAAGTTATAGCTATACCTTACTGGGTACAGTAAACATATATTTAACCTATATTTTCCTGTTAATGCAACTTTTATACTTTGATAGAATTTGTCATTAATTGGCTTGCTTTACAAATAAAATAGTTTCTTTACAGACATTTTGCAAATCAACATCTTTGGAAGTAGTTTCAGAATCCCAGAATGCATTTTGGTGCACTTTATTTCTATATTTTTGAGTGACATTTACCATTTTATATACAGCTACTCATGTCTTTCTGATTACACACATTTGCTCATGCTGTAGATACTCATCACCCTTTCTTATCGTGAAAGTAACGCACCAGGGATGGTGCATTAAATACTCTGCAATATACTGGAACCATAAAAGGGTAAATTAATAGAGGGGAGAATACATTTGAAAAGATTTCAGAGCAACACAGACTGGATTACCAAATTCTGACATAGTGACATAAAAGCATCAGTAACAATACCAATGTCGCTGGTGACAATCAGCCACTTCAAAGAACAGTTCAGTGGCCAATGACATCCCTACTGGCAATTATTTAAATTCAAAGCAACTTTAATCTCTTCTTTCTTCTCATTTTCACTGATCTTTATCTGTCCTTGACACTGTCAACTTTCTCTTTCTTGCATAGCCATAACATTGTCTGTGCTACTCAGGCTAGTCCTAATAACAAATGAACTTACATACTTAAAAAAAAACCCACTATATCTATATATCTATATATCTATTTAGTCCCCACCACTGCCCACTCACACACAGAAACATCGACTCACATACACAGGCTTGCATGTACATCCACACAAATTTCAAGAGTTAAATGACAGTGTTAGTTACTCATAATTACCATCCTCTCCTAAGACATATGACTGTTTTTTTCATCTGAACAGTCCATTTCTTTATGCATGTGTGTAGCGTCAGACTAAAAGAGTGGAAGGGTACAGTGTGTTCTCAGCTTCTCTCTGTTCTTTCGTCTCTGGAACGTATTCCCACAGCTCTAAAAATGCTTTGAACTGAAGAGACGATATTCAATATTCAGCGCCCTTCTCAAATGTTTCGTTTGTGCTTGACGATCAAATGCAGCATTCATTTGGAGTGTTACCACACCCTGATATTGCCATCGACATTACAGTAAGACATTTGAGAAGTACCAATTGTTTGTACATTAGCAGGGAGGCTAGGTCAAGACGCTATTCCAAAGCATTGTCAAGTGTGTGTTTTTAATGTGACTCAATTTGTAATCAGGCTAGCACTAGCAGGGGGTTTCAGTAAGTGACTCCCATGACATCGAAAACATTTGACCAAGTGGAGGAAGGGGGGTGTTGTTGCTTTAAATTATCTTCTGTTATTGGTTTGTGGGAATAAAATAATACATTATGCAGATTTTGAGGGCACAAAATTGGCATTAGTAGCAGCAATAGCAAAAAAAGAACACTCGGACATTCAAGAGGACCTTCATATATTTTCTTGAACCACAACAGTATGGAGACTGTAGCACTGTAGCACACACACACACACACATCATCTTTGTGGCAGTCTCCGCTGACAGCCAACTCACTGTGCATCCTCAGTGTTAGACAGCGAGTGTCTCCTCTAATTGAGTCTACTGCCCTGTAGGAACCCAGCAGTATTTAGCATATCAAAGGCCACGCTGACCTGTATTTTGTATGAGCCTGTGTGCGCACTCTTGGAGATGAGGACAACCTGTAGCATGGAGCTCGGCTCTTGGGTGCTTTGGCGGATTGAATAGCGCGGGGACCCAGGTGGGGGTGAGAAAGGTCAACAATGTAACCCTTAATTAGCTGACATTTGCCTCAAAGCCATGCACTAGGGGAGAAAGGAGGGGCATGTGTCGCTGCTAAAAAAGCAGGCTGTAATTCAGAGCAAGGAAGCCTCTTTTATAGCTAAAGGCCATGCTGCCATTTTGATGCCACGGCACAAGGGGGGGGGGGGCTGAGACAACTGTCTCAAGAGATAAAGCAAAGCAGAAAGCCTCATTAGGAGGTGGTGTGTGGTAACAGTCACGCTGTTGAGGTAGAGGTGATGATGATGACCATGACTGACTTGTCCCTCTGACAGTGGACATTAAAGTGCAACTTAACACCTGTTTTTGCTCCCTTCAAATTTTAAAAAACTGCCATGGTCTGGAGACAGACTGGTTTGAAACAATAGCATGTACATTTGACTAAAACTCTTAGTTTTGTTTAACACTGCTGTTGCAATTAAGGCTTACGTTTGGGACCAGAAAGATAGTAAAGTGACCATACGTATACAGTAATGATAACTCAAAAAAGTGGATTTAGTATTCAGATATTCTTTAAAGTAAAATTCTTGTTTATTTCAACCTGAAATGTTTCCCGTAAATGTGGCTATTGAGGCTTTATGGCTTGTGCTTACTTAGCTCTCGCCAGCCTCCATTGTAGAGATTCAAGGAGTTGCATTAAACAATCAGGGCAAGCTGCGCAAGCTGTCTATTCTAAGTAAATATGTTTTTTTTTTGTTTTTTTTAACAGAATCATTTCCCTTGTCTCTAAATCTTACTAAAATAACATGGCATCTTGGAGTATTGTTTCAGTCAACTTGCAGAACAATTAGCCACAACTGTAGTCTCTGTCACTCAGTGGCAGCTTGATGCTAATATCTTAAATAAATATAAGCATTATGTTACAAGATGAAAAAAAATTAGATTTATTTAAAACAAAACAGAGCAAATAGACTCAGACACACTTATGGGCTCAGCCATGTCTACATAGCGGTTTTGCACTAAAATTGTCAGTATTTTATAAACCTCAGAGACTTATGAAGCCTATTCCAACAGTCACAATCGATAGTCCCAGTTTCTCAGTTGCATTCAGTTTAATGATCCATGGATTCAATTATATCTTCCTTTCATAGAAGCTGACATGAAATAATTACTCAGCAATTACCAACTAGTCTTTCTATCAAAAATAAAGTCATGATCAAAACGGGGTCAGACGGCTCTGTCATGATGATGTCTAGGGAAAAAGCAGTGCTAATATTTACAGGTTATTTAATCTCCTTGAATCAGCTAGAGCCTTTAGTGTTTACTATTAGTTCCTGACAGCTATGAGAGGGCTATGATTTTGGCAATAGTTATTAAGAAACATTATTAACCTATTTAACTACATTCTTCTTAGTGAGGAATTCCATTTATGCATTTTTCCATTCATATAGTTTCAGTTTTTTTTTCCATTCAGTGTGCATTGGATGTAATGATGTCTTTGACCCGTGTGCACAGTGTTACTGATTTAAATGGAGTTTTTAAATTAACTCATCTGTATGCCTCACTGTCAATTTCTATAGTAAAAGAAAAGACTTGAGAGGGCACTTTGCGCTGTCACCTGCATATTTCTCATGTGTATTTTAGCCTGGATAACTGCTATGCAGCATCTATTAGTGCTGAGAAACAGATGGGTCTGTTAGAGCCCCGGTCACACCAGTGCTGTGTGAAGACGGGAATGCTTGGCTAGGTGACACCTCAACCATCTGCAAGTGTTTACC